TTTTTTTGCTATATACAGGGAGATGCATTTGAAATTTTTGAGAAGAACTACAATTTGCGTTTTTGACCGCCCTGTATGAGCAAAAATTAAAATTCGAAAAAGTAACAGATAAGATAAAAGCTGAGGTGTGTACATTTTTTTACAAAATTCAGCACTCCAAATTTCAAGATGGCGGGCTGAGGGGTTGCCGAAGTGGGGGGTTTTTCTAGACAAAACACCTTATATCTCAGTAGCTAATTACCAAAACCCCATAGTATGTTATATCAATTTTCTTCTATTGAATTGGTTTATTGTAATAAAATTTGAGACATTCAATTTGAAAAATTACAACTTTGATACATAGGTCGAAATTGGGACACCCTGTGTAATGGCCAATATTTTAGAAATGTGCCCTCAAAGGTCATGCATAACACCCCATAAATAGATTTTCCTAAAATGTATTTGTTTATGAGTAATATTCCGTCCACACATGGATGGGCCACCCTGTATATATTGCGTCATTCTTGATTTTTTTTCAAAACTAAAAATCATTTATCACGTTTCAGAATGTCAACGCCATGTTGACGTTTTTTTGCCAGTGTGTGACTCTCCCATTTACCCACGTCACACTCAAATATCGTCACATCATTAAAATTCAAATTCAGCATGTAATTTACGTACCTTATATCTTAGTCTGACGCACTTAGGTATTTCTAATGATCGATTTCATTTTTTTTTTAACTATTCTGATCATCTTAATCACAAAATTTCCTATTGATAAAATGATATTGATAACATTTAATGTATCATTATTGGACCTTATTTTTTACATAACTATTCATAGATAAATAACAAATCAATTAAATCACATTATTTCTGTAAATGTGTCGATATTACGTTCAAAATCTTAAAAATCGATAACAACAACAAATTAATAAGAGTAAAGTCAGCACCTATTGATAGAATACAACCGTTAGTGGTTAATAAACCTTCAAGCGGAATCGTAACACATAATTGTCTGAATTATTATTTTTCATCATTTTCGCACAATATGTTGAGTCATTTATTTTAACAGCTTGAAAAACTCGCCAAAAGACGATATACCAAAAATCACCTATATAAAAGTGGCATAATAAGAGAGTTAGTTTACGTTATTAAAAATTAATTAAAAAAATCATTATCAAATTAAATGGATCCCATTTTTGCAAAAACTGTTCAAAATTGTCCCCATTTGTTCGATTAGCGCAAAATCTTGCTCGGCGAATCCACGACTCTACAAGCTTCGAAAATAAAATCCTGGTGTCCACGAATTAAATCACGAGGTTTTTCAGTGCGCTGTTGAAGTCCTTCCAGAGTATTTACTGCTCCATCACAAATTGCCCCACAGCAAAAAATCGAAAGGCGTTAAATCCGGGGAGCGAGCAGGCCAAGAAATGGGTCCATTGCGCCATCTATTCGTGAACTCATTATTTATATGTTCATGAACTTCTCGTCTAAAATGTGGTGGAGAGCCCCATCATGCAGGAACCACATATTCTGTCTCACATTTAGAGGAACATCTACTGATAATTGTGTCAGATTGTGTTGAAGAAAATTTGAATAGATTTCACCGGTCAGTCGAGGTGGAAAAAAGTATTGTAAGCATGCCATTTACCATGCCAGCCCAAACATTTGATAAAAATCTACGTTGAAAATTATCTTTTTATAGCATGCAGATTTTCTACTGCCCAAACATGATTGTTGTGGAAATTGTGCACTCCATTTCGTGTAAAAGTGGAACTCATTGTTGGGTCGTTTTCGACCATTTCTAAAATGTCTTCCTCAATTTGCAACATTTCAGGTTGAGCAAGTCTTCCAGCGTGACCTCCTCGTTGTTCTTTTAAATACCCTGTGTCACGAAGTCTAATAACTAAATTTACAAACATCCGTGTGGCCGGATGATTTCTTAAAGGAAACCTTTCCGCAAACAACTTCCATACCGGCGGCATTTTGTTGGCATTCTCCGTATGTTAGTATTATGTCCACTAGTTGTAAAGATGGGCCATTTTTTCGCACAAATAATTAGATAAATGCAAGTACAGTAGACTCTCAACCATCCGGCCTAAGGTGGCGGGCAGCTAGTCCGGATAACGAAAAAGCCGGATAAGCCGAATTAATGTCCAGACATACGCAACTTTATTAAGCAAATGTATTTTAACTCAGAATTTACATTTGTATCTATTAAGGTATGAGAAAATGCATAATTTGCCAATGTGTTCTCTTCTTCGCTGACAAGTCCCTCCACTTATCGGTTCAAGCTTTTGCTCAATTGTCCACTTTCTTTCGCTTATTGCTCATCATGACATAAATAACTTATTCAATTCGCAAACGAAAACAACTCGCTTATTTGTAACGTATCTATGCACTAAATGAAATACGCATATGTACATAATTATGTATGTACATACTACAACACGTAAAACTCGTTCTAACTCGTAAAAATTATGTTTAGGGGCGCCGGGTCCTAGGCGATCCGGATAAGGCCGAAGTCCGGATAGCGGCGAGCCGGATACTTGAGAGTTTTCTGTATACGCACTATTAAAAGAGCGATACAACTGATCGAACCAAAGACTCGTACTGAAAACCATACAATAAAACAAAAGTTTGCCAAATTCAGATAAACGATAAGGGTAGTAAACAAAAAACGCTAAGATTTTACACGGCAGAATATCAAAAAATCTGGGTAATAACACTCTTATTTTTTTAAAATTTTAATCTTACTATTTCTTTTATTATGCAACTTTTATGTAGGTGTTTTTTGGTATATCACCTCCTTTCGACGAGTCCTACAAGCAGTTAAAATAAATGACTCACTTTGAAAACACCCTGTACATTATACAAACTGCTTTGAAATGTTTATAGTCACTAAAGTGCATGAAACTCATAATTTGTTAATAATTCACTGCATCAACCATTGGCGCCTAACTTAGATACATAAACTATGGACACTAGTTCCATGAAATCCAATGTTATTGGATGTTGTTCTACAGTATACGAGGTCTGTAAATTAAGTGATGAGACTGCAACGTAGCGTTCGGTCTGGCTACACTGGAGGCGCTGGGCTTGAGGCGAGACAGGGAGACAAGTAATCCGCCTTCAGTATAAGTTTGACCTCGCTCGGGTCATTGATTGTCGGTATCGATTTTTTTGTGAATCAATTTTTTTCTTCATCGGTTGACAGTCGGAATGATCGGGGAGAGTTAAATTTTATTCACGCCACCGTTCATCAGGTCAAGAACAACTGGGTGTTGAATCACAAAAATGCTCCTTGTGGCTCCTCAGCCTCCTTAATCGCCTGACTTGGGTCCTCGTCACTTTTTTCTCTTGCCGAAGTTGAAAAATCACCTCAAGTGAACTCATTTTGGGATAGTTGAAAACGTTCAAACGGCTGTAACCGACCAGCTCAAGGCTATTCCAGAATCGGAGTTCCAGCGCTGCTATGAGGAGTGAAAGAACCGTCTCCAGCGCCTGTGCTTTCAGAAAGAAGTTCTTTTGAGGGTGACAATATCAAATTGTAATATTTGAACAAAGCAATTTCAAAATATCAGTCTGGTCACTTAATTTACAGACCGCGTACATGCTATAGCCCCGAAACAATAACCGCTATTGTTTAACTAAATGAACCATTGGGTATTATTAATGTTTACAGTATAGCATTCATCTTCCGCCTATTTTAGTACTTTAGTTTCCCAGGAATGCCATAAACACTTGATGAATAATTTTATCGATATTTTACGTAAAACTTTACGACACATTATGAACGTTTGCTAATTATAGTATACGTTGTCCTTTAGATTAGATAATATTAATGCAAAAATCATTTGAAAGCAATCACCAGATGAAAGTATCATTAATACATATGCTGACATTTTTCCACTAGCAAAACGTCTTCAAATCATTCTGACAAAAGTTGTAACGACACATCGTGGAGGTAACATTAAAATAATGTGGACTGTGGACAGTATGTTTCCATGGAGTCAATGAAACAACTGAAGGATAATAATCCTACGTTCGTACGTCCGCCAAAACAGGGCGCCACACGTGTATAGCTGTTTCATGCTTATTAGCAATCATCAGCACGTTCTAGGTCTCAAGAAGAACAATGATCGAAAACAGTGTGAAGTATCGGAGGCATAAGGTCTATCCAGATATGATAGCAAACGTGCCATCTATTACCAGACTCGACCACTGCGAGAGTGAATAGCAGCTATTTCTTGGAACGATTTTAAACTGCTTTTTTCGATTTCTGTTTATCATTATCTGTCAGAGCGGTCCGTAGGACGTTTGTTCTTGATTGCTTCCGTTTGTTTTCCTTCCGGTGTCCTGCCTATACCATGCTGATGTTTGCCAATAAACATGAAACGGCTGTACACGGTTGGCGCTCTGTTTGATCGGTCGGACGAAAGCAGTATTACGAGGGATGTCTTTTAAGTTTTGCATATAGAAACATAGTAGTCCGCGCGGATCGAACGTCAGTACTGATCTTAACCTCACTCTCTAGTAAACTTAAATTCAAAGTTTCACAACAATACGTGCAGTGTTCTCACTACGGTGAATTTTTAAGTGTCACCAAGTTATTAGAAAAATGGAACTCAACCGAGAGCATTTTCGCGCCATAATTTATTACACTTTCAGAGACAATTATCGCAACAAGAATGCCTTGCTGAGTTACTATCTGTTTTCGGCAATGAAGCGCCACATCAGTCGACAATTTTCCGTTGGTATGGAGAATTCAAACGTGGACGGGTGAGTCTTAGCGACGATCCCAGGGTGGGTGCACCAAAAACGGCAGTCACTCAGGAAAACGTCGATGCTGTGCGCAAACTCATCATTGAAGATAGACATGTGACATATCGCGAGATTGGGGCGTCCTTGAAGATCTCCAATACCCCAATTCAAAAAAATTTACATGAAGAATTAGGAGTAAGAAAATTAGTTTCTCGTTGGATACCCCACCTTTTGACTGAAGAGCAGAAAGCAGCCAGGGTTAAATGGTGTCAAAAAACGCTTGACCGTTTCAATTCTGGAACTCAAAAATGTGTACAGCATTGTTAGTGATGATGAATCGTGGATTTACTGTTATGAACCAGAAAATAAACGACAGTCGGCTGTTTGGGTGTTCCAAGGTGAAGAAAAGCCAACAAAAGTCATCCGTTCTCGAAGTGTTTCGAAAAAGATGGTCGCGACATTTGTGTCAAAAGCGGGTCATATTGCAACTGTTACTGCGGATTGGTATACCACCATATGTTTTGCCAAAAGTCATCACCGAGCTCGAAAAATCAACCCCAAAAGAAGAATCATCCTCCACCAAGACAATGCAAGCTCGCACACAGCCCAAAAAACAAGGCAGTATTTAACGGAAGAAAACGTGGAATTATTGGACCATCCTCCATATAGTTCTGATCTAAGTCCTAACGATTTCTTTACTTTCCCGAAAATTAAAAACAGACTGCGTGGTGAAAGATTCCAGTCACCAGAAGAAGCAGTTGACGCATTGAAAAATGCCGTTTTGGATCTGCCAGCAAACGAGTGGAATAAGTGCTTCAAAATTGGTTCGAGATGTGTATTAATCTTCATGAAGAATACTTCGAAAGCAATTCATTTAAAGCTAGCTACCGTGTTGTTTTATTTCCATATGCAAAACTTAAAAGACATCCCTCGTGTTAGTTTCCAATGGCGACTAGACCACATCTACTAAACGCCAGAATCGACGGTATCAAGATCACAGTCAGGGCTCTGATTTTGATGCGAACTGCGGAACTTTTTACAGTTAGCTGCTATTCACTCTTGCAGTGATCGAATCTGGTAATGGATGACACTATTGCTAAAGGACAATACTCCCAATACATAAAAAATATACTGTTAAGGGACAATCAACCATATTAGAACCAATCCTATTTAATTTGTACGTATATCATTTTAGGGTGAACAATGATGGAGAAATTATTGGTGACGTTAATGACACGGCGATTATTTATTCAGACAAAGATTGGGATCCTTTAGAAAACAAAATTGCATTGAATTTTGAATTGAAGGTTATATATTTTTTCACTGAAAGGATTTTAACATTGACTTCAACAAAACAAATCAACTCCAAATTAAAGCGTCGAATAGCTACAGTAACATACAATCAGATGATAATTCCAAATATCTAAGATGGAATATACACATTCAACACAAAAATTGATACCTCATTCCAAAAATCAAACATTGCAGCAGTTTTTTGAGCGAAAAATATCTGCACCTGTTACATCTTCTGAAATCTATAGCATGGGGTGCAGTCATTAACAATTATCAATAAAAATTAAAATCATGCAGAAGTGATTTTGAAGGTGATGTTAAACAAAAACAAATTATCGCACAGAAAATCTTTACGACGAAACTCTGCCAGCAAATATATTTTATCATTCAATAATACTAACAAAAAATCCAAAATTGTTACATTCTGTTAGCCACGACCATCAAAACGCGATTCAAAGAAACATCTGCACTTATCGCCAGACTAAATAAAACTCCAACTAAAGATCTTTCTACTTTCTAGGCTCAAAATTTTATATTATGCATGCAAAATTTAAACATCTAAAATGTAAAATTAAAATCAACGTTATGGACGTTAAACCAACCAAGGCTAAAAATTCATAAACTTGTACACATCGAAAATCGATATTTTATTTGACAAATTGATGCAATTTTTACATTTGACTAGTCAGATTGGCGTTGTCGGTTGCTTTCGGTGAGAACAGTCACTTACGAGACTGTTTTTTGCCTATTTACTCACTTGCCTGTTTGAAGCAGAATAAAAGTACAAAGTGTCGTGTAATGTAAAATGACATGTCCAATTTGAATTATTTGATCATTTTAGGTTTCAGTATTATAGCAGAATGTATGAAAGTGATTCCAGGCACAGTACAAAGCTGTTCAATATTTAAAAGAGGGAAATCTATTGGCCATTTCACCTGGAGGTGTATATGAGGCACAGTTTAGTCATCATTACACCTTAATGTGGAAAAAGAGATTGGGATTTGCCAAAGTCGCATTGGACGCGAAAGTTGTGAGTACCACACTTCCTAGTACTGAGTCATAGAGGCAGACAAAAAACTGGACTTTTTTAGATTGGATAAAATAATTTAGAGAAAATATCTCATATAATTCTAATGGCGGAAACATTCTAAAAGAAATAACTACATGATCAATTGTTTTAACAAATGTATGTAACCTCAAGTCACTTGTAAATATTTTTAGCCAGTTATTCCAATGTTCACAGAGAACGTTAGAGAAGCATTTAGGACAATGAGTATAGGACGAAGATTGTTTTGAAATTGTATGCGAGATTCAAATTTCCGTTTGCTCCATTATATGGCGGATTTCCTGTCAAAATGGTAACACATCTTGGTAAACCTATACCTTATGATCCAGGAATTACACCTGAACAGCTACAAGCTAAGGTATGTATTTGTTGCCTCATAATCAATCAACTTTTTCTAAATAATATGACTGACTGTAAGCTCTTTAAAAAAATGGCAAATTGTAAAAATATTTTTCTCTTATTTTTGGTGATGTGATTTTAAAAATTAAACTTGATTTTTTCAGGTGGCATCAGCAATTGAAGATCTCATCAGTAACATCAACGAAGGCCGGGAAATATATTTTATGCTCTACTAGAAGGATACCAAACTTTAGGAAAAAGCATTTATAGAGAAAATAATGATACGAAAATTAGGCTGAGGAATTCTTTGTATTGTAACAGTGATAATATTATGATGTACATTTTTCTTCATGTCAAGATCTTCCTTATACGAGTTTTGTGTAACCTGAAAAAATGTGAACATGACGTACTTTTTTTGTTAATATACAATTTTATTTATATTTAAATCTTCTATTTCATTTTGCCTCCTTCAACATTTGAGTCATTCAATTTTGAACTGCTCTATTTTGCATTGTGTCACTGTGTTTTTGGGATTAAATCCTTGTAGTCTTATTTAGCTTTTTGATAGGGTGATTGGAATAATAATAATAATGATAACAAAGAAACATAACTAATACTGTTTAATATCATCACTGAAATTAATAAATGGGGGAACGTAGACGTATTTCTTAGTGCTATGGCTTTCATTTTCAGTTGCTGCCTTAGGGATATCTGGAAGTCTAACTTGAATAATTTCCTTGATCACTTCAATTGGCCTTACAGATCCAAAGAATCAGTGATGGGTACTTCTTCGGGATTCCTCTTATACAAATCTGTTCTCACACCTACTGTTGAGATGCATACACTCTTAGGACATACCTTCAACTACAACATCGAAAAAATAAGAAATTCATAATTCCCAATGTCAAAGAACTACTCACAAATTCTGCCACAGTTCTGTCGCTATTTGGCTTTATACTTTCCAAAATTCAAGAGCATAAAAAGTGTATCTGTCTATGATGTACACGCCTATTGCTGGGTCAACATGATGCTAAAAATGTGTATGATGATCAAACAGTTACACCAAAAGAATATTTGAAACTCACAGAAAGAGAATCTTCTCCAACCAAACTGCTACCCACTGCTAAAATGTTTGGTGAATAAAACCTCTCATACATTGATGCTGCTTGGCAAGTGTCTATTATGAAAAACACCTCATGGTATCTGAAAGAAGCAGAGAAGTATGTAAGCAACCATAACAAGGGATCACAACATAAAAAAGTGGTGTTCTTTAGGTCCAAACATTTTTTTCCCATGTACTTTCCCTACCAATACAAACCTTGAGTCAAAATTGGGGATGATGAACAAATATGAAAGTGATTTAGACCAGAATTAAAATTTTTACAATTTTAGGTGGATGTTCATCCCCCAGGGACTTCTTACTTACTCATTTGTCCCTGACTTGCATTCTGATATCAGATTTGAGTTGAAAAAGTATATGGGACAAACATAGTGGGACCCTAAGCACACACCACTTCTTTTATATTGTGGGCCTGTGTGATAATTGTAAAGAAACTATGAAAATCGTTTGGTCACACTATCTGCTTAGATAGCTTTATCATTGTGCTGATGTCATCATCTCTGATTATACTGCATAGACTCATACATTGGGTATATAATTTTTGGGCCCATAACCTATTGATGAAACTATACTTAATGGTCATATCACAATACCTTTGTTTCTGCCACATTTGTTCCAAGGCATCAGACATCTCTTGATTTGTGATCTCCTCTGAATCTTGGAATTTGAGAAAACCATCCCCTCCATGTCCAGTGAGGTATATTAGAATATTGCTACCTTCATCACTGAGTAGCTGTTTTGACCTAGGAGTGCCAGGAGGTAGCCTACCAGTTAATAATCTGACAAAGTTTTCTACTGTCACCTAGGAAAAGTTACAAGTTCATTTCTTTAGAATGTTTTGTTGAGTTTGAAAGTTAATAAGTTAAGATCTTTCTAAGTAGTGACATTTTTGTGTTAGTCTGCAATGTTGGTCATAATGGATCAGGTATAAATCTAGTAAAACTTATTTGTGGCATTTTGTTTTTTGTATACAAATGGACTTTCCTAAATAAAAGAGCTCTTAGTAAGTACAAAATGAATCTGTAGCATATAAAAAACAAAACAAGAATCACTTTGTCTACCTGGTGTTGACTGATCCATCAGAATTATGTGTCCTGTGCCAATATGGGGAATTTTGAGATATTACTAGATAATCAGCTGTCATTTTACCGCGATGGATACTCGTGAAATAGGGTATATCATCAAATGCACAAACAATTCTCACAGCAGCTTTTTCTGGGATGGACATAAGCATTGCCTTCTAATAATGTGGGCAAATGATTTCTTTATTTTTAATACTAACCTCATATCCTCTATAATCTACCTCAACATCATCACCATAAACGTTAATATGCTGGTTAGCATTATTGAAAACTGTTGCTGGCCTCGGGTTTCTAGGATTACAAGCCATATCATCAGCAATCATGAGGATAATTTGACTATCAGGTATACCGAGACGCTTAACACTTCTATAAATCGATAAAACATTTGCAACATGTCTGTAGTTAAACCAAAACCTGCTTGTATCTACTAAGACTGCCCAGTTGTTCGTGTGATTTGAGTTTGCAAACTTGTGAGGTATGCTTGCCTGAAATAAAATTTTTTTGAGTAAACACGAAAGAAGTCAAAAGTTTATAGGTTTACGTCTGCTTGTGTTCTGGGTGCTAATACTAAGAAAAAAATTGTGAATATTAAAGATAGCATTTCCATTATTTTTGCAATGCAAGCTCCTAAAATACTACATAGACTTGTTTACATTGTTTGACAAGGGCTTTAAAATTTTGAGGTTAGCTTAATAGATTTCAGTTAAATCCAATCATCAAAGAAATGGCTAGTCACGTGGCTGCCTGTTGTAGGTGCGGAAAATTATAGTCCAGTGAACATTACTAAAACTTTTATTTAGCGAATAGCAAATTTTTGATCAGCATATAAATGAAACATTCTTTTTCGTTGGCCTTAAATACTGTATTAGAAGTTTACAAAAGTAATTTAGTTCTCAGTCTGTGACATCATAAAAGATCATACAATTTTTTGCAGAATCATAATCAATGTTCGTGGATATATATTTTGCTTAACAAATATATGGTTCTGATCCTGTACCCTTGAGACATGTAAAATAAGATGCACCAAAATCTTACTAACTCATTTGCTCAATACATATTTTGTTCTTAATTTCATAATTATGCAAGGAACTAAACTCCATTTCAAAGCCAAAACAGAATAAATGTAGACACTGTCACACACTACCCCTGTTTTAGTTGGAGACTAAGTTATTAGATTGGATAATATCTCTTCTGTGGTGTCTGTACTGGAACCCTGATCTGGTCCACATATAAGTCTATTTTAGTCTCACTTGGATTTGGAACAGCTTTAATTACAATCACTCATACAGTAGACAAAAACTTTGATTCCATTAATTATTTCCCCCTGGTTGCTGACCGCTACCACCAGTTCCTGGCCCTTGCACTCCACCCCCTTGAGGGGGCACAGCAGAGGTAGGTGCCTGCTGTGGTTGGCCCCCAGGTACTGTCGTGCTCTGCCCTATGGTGGACCCAGCAGTTCGTTGAGCCAGCACTGAGGCTGCAGTAGCAGGTCTGCCCTGCACGTGTTTCACTTTGATTCTATCCAGTTCATTTACTCTGGACCGAGCATGCTCCAGTCGATGCCAAGCCATCTGCAAGACTTTTTGGGAAGCATAGCCACTGCCTTCATGTGGTTGGCCAGTTGATACCTGCGGAGGAAACAAATGCATTGTATGAAAAGTGTGTTGGTGACCAGCATACTATATTCTGTAGCTGCAAAATGACTGAGACTGATTACTTGATAAGTTGGTCTTAGTGAAGTCTCGACTTAATAGATATAACATACATTGTAGTTGAACCAGTAGGTTATTTATGAGGTACTAGAACAGTTCTTACCTGTGTGAGATAATTTATTTGATCTGTTAGTTTGTTTTCAACAGCACTCAATGTTTTGAGGAACATCTGTGTATGATTCTCAGCTTGCTTCAGACTCGATTTTTCTTTGCTTAGCTCTACGAATACTTGACCTACAGTGAGAAATTGCATGATATATTTTATTTTGTTCAACATTTGGAATGGAAAAACTTACCTGCACTATGTAAACATGTTATTATATCCTTCTCAATGGAGTCTAGGACTTGAATTCGTTCCATTGGTGCCGTCATCTTTTCGAATTTGATTTTGCGTTTATTATTAGAGGTAATACTTTAAACTTTTTCTCATAAATTTATTATTGTTTTCAATCAACCTCCTCAACAAATAAAAATAAACTGACTCACAAAACAGACATGACACATGACAGCACTGACAGTTGTTTGTCATATGGCTTGACACTTAACAGTTATTTAACGAAAGGAGGATCATAAAACAAGAACTTTTGACAGATGGTATGGGTCGTACCTTTTTTCCTTTTTTCTCTTTTTGTGATCCGTGCCTTCCACTTGTGTCGGTTTGCTTGATACTCTGAAAATAAGGTAGTTTTTTCCGCATATATCTAAATAATCCTGAAATGTTTCCATAATAGAATCTAGCCTAACTGAAATTTGTGTTATCCTAACGCTGTTACAACCAATATTTACGCTTGGATAAAGTATTCATGCAATTAACCGAGATACCAAAATGCCGGAAAACCGCGGAACGGCGATGTTTATTTTTAGCTGTAACGTAATTCGATCTTCATGATGATAACTCTCACCAAGGTTTCGCAATTTCATGTATGAACCACCGTGATTCGGCTCTTGGCAGTCTGATATACCCGCCAAAACCACTTCTTGTAACGTCTCGACCTTCGCCCCATTAACCTTTACGACTGCATTAGGGACAGCATGCCAGAAATGACGGAAGTGGAGAAACCCGCAGTCGCAGAGGCCAGCAAGCCTGAATCAGAATCTTCCACTGACAGTGACACTGAAGAAGACATCCCAGAGTTGGAAGATGCAGGGGGCAATGCAGGGACTGCAGTTAATGCTGCGGCGGCCGCAGCGTCGTTCCCTGGGGCCGCAGCAGCTGGCTTGCCAATTGACATGGTCTCCAAGGCCAAGCAGTCCAGGGGGGAGAAGAAAGCTAGGAAAATTATGTCAAAGTTAGGCTTGAAACCAGTAAGTGATAAACACAATCAAATTGGCTTTAAGGCTTAAAGTTGATTTGGATAACCAAAATGACCTCACTAGACAAATAAAAATAAACTGTCTTCATACCTTTTAAAGGAAAGAATGGATATGTTTTTCCAAAAGAACCAGATGCATTAATAGACGAGCACATTAGAGATATGAGTTCTCGCAAGACTGTTTTTGACTTCTATAATGAAGCATCTAGATGGGCACTATTTGTGACCCATCCATATATCTTTGATATATCAGTTATTTCTAGACTATATCTTAGCAGTATTGTTTGCAATGTGTAGATACATACCTAGTCAGAATTTTCCTTTAGAAGTACTAAAAATCAGGCAAGAATGATGAAATTGTAAGCAAATGGTTTTGCCATAAAGTTTGGGGTATTTTGGATTTTACTATAAAACTGAACACATTAACAACCATATGCATCAGATTGGTGCACAGACCATGTGTCCCTATGTGTAGTCAATGGTAATGTTTCAGGTCATATGGGTCATAGGGACCCAGATGTAATGTATTTAAATGTGGCATTTAGTAACGTGGGACCTTGGGGAAAAAAATACCAGTAATTTCATTTCCTTAGAAAACGTTTAATGCTGTTTGTTAATGTGCTAACAAAACCTTTTTTCATATTGTAGTTTCACATAAGCTCATTTTGATTGCCTGTTCCATCAAAAACTTTTCTAGCCTTCTAGTTGAAAATTACTTTTATATGATATTTATTATATATTATTTCACACCATCATTATTCTCTTAACTCTTGAGGCCAATTTCATAAAAATTATTAGTTAAAAATGCTTACAAATATTGCACTAAGTATGTATGGACTTGAAACTTGTCAATATATTTTGAAACATCTAGCTAAATTTTGAAAAGCAGAACAAAGGCTCAAGATGAACATTTCCATTCTCACAGATTTTTTAAGGGGAGCCTGCATAGATACAGGGCTGGTAATGCTGATTGATTAAGTAATTTGAGGTTAGAAGAAAATTGAATTTTAAGCAAACTATTTCTCTATTGTTACTAAACTAAATTGTGTAATATTCTGGGCCTAAAAGTTGAATAGCTATTGGATGACGTGATGATTTTGAGAATACATTCTATTTCAAGTTATAAATTACAGTTTTTGCTGGTACTCTCTACTATAGTAGTAGTAGTATATTTAGCCAAATTTCATAAAGTTCATATGGTTGTCAAAAAAAAAAGTAGTATGGTTAAAATATCACAATACATTTGACTATTCAGTAGCCGACAAAAGTTTGGAAACATCCTTAGGAATTATTTTTAAAAGTGTGCTAATTTTTTATTCTTTATTATTGAGGACTATTTTTTTCTCATAAAGCTTGCTTACAGTATTGAGGATATATATGACAATTTGTGTTTGCTGTGGTACTACAGACTAGCATTAAAATACCTTCATATTGTTTTATGACTGAAAATGAGACAACAAAAGTATGGAAACATACTTTTTATTATGAAAATTAAATACAATAACTCCACAAAAAGATTAAAAAAAATACTGTTTAGCTGATATTTGGTAGCATAGTATTTAACACTACCTGACATCTGTTGGGATATTTTGCCAAATATTTTTTACATAATCAAATGAATCTTTCCAATTTTTTTAAGTTCTTCTTGTCAGTTGTCTTTTGCATGCTCCCAGTGATATTGTATAGGGTTTAAGTACGGGGATTGCAAAGGACATGTAAGAATATTATCATTTAGTCATAACCAGTCCTTTACAAATTTTGAGGTATGCTTGGGGTTATTATCCTGCTGGAATGTCATAGTAAAGGCATTTCTTCTTCGGCAAAAGGGAGCACATGTTCACTAAGAATATCTTTGTAAAGTTTTTGATCCACTTCAGAAGAGTCTACTACTGTGGCCACCACTGCTGCCTAAATGAAATCGAGTGCTTGTAGTATTTTATATATATATAACAAAACCTGTGTGTCAGCTAGCTATTTAAGTTTCAGTGTCCTACACAGAATATTACACGATTACCTTGCAAATTAATTCTGATGGGTACTGACTTCCATATATTTTTGACAGGACTTTTATCAAATAACGATGAATATATTTCCATCAATTTCTAGGTCCAAGGTGTAAGCCGCGTGACGATTCGCAAATCCAAGAACATCCTCTTTGTGATCACAAAACCTGATGTGTACAAAAACCCTGTCAGTGACACATACATTGTGTTTGGTGAGGCAAAGATAGAGGATCTGTCACAGCAGGCCCAAGTGGCTGCTGCAGAAAAATTCAAAGAGGCGAATCCGGCTGCCGCAGGGGCTGGTGTTGCCGGTGGAGCTGGATTGGCAGCCCATGATGGGGCGCTGGCTGTAGGGGCGGCGGCTGGTGCTGCGGGGGCCGCAGGACAGGTGGGCACGATACAAGAAGAGTCTGAGGATGAGGAGGTGAGGAGCTTTCTTTTTTTATTATAACTACCTTCCAAAGACCATTTCAAATCCCAGAGCTGTGAGACATTACTTGTTTTCTGAAAGGCAAAACAGAGGCATTGGATACCGCTTATACAGGTTGTAACAGAGGTTGACATCACACTGGAAATGGGAGATAGGCCAAGTCATAATAGTTATCAGAACAATATAAAAAATCTAAGTCATATACTTTTCAAATTATAGGCTGGAAACAAAATCGGAAAAATCTACACGCTGCGATGATCTTTCAGTTCTCATTACTACAAATTTCAATTTCTAGTGATGGACAGTGCCACTTAGTGACAAGACATATAGTAACACCACTTTTATTAATTCGTGACTGTATTTATTAAATTCACAATAAATGTTCAAACTGCCTTCCTTCAGCAGCAATGCTAGCTTGAAAACTTAAAAATGATCAGGTTATCAGATGGGCGAATCTTCCGTTATTCAGAAATTCACTCCTGTAGCTCAGCTATATTTTCAATTGGCTCTGAGTAAACTTTTTCTTCACTGCTCCCCAGTAAGAAAATTTCCACATGTCCAGTCCACATGTTCAAAATGACACTGTAATCTATCTTGTCTGATCAAATGTGTACATTCCACTTGTGCAATTTGTATAGATTCATATAACCATCTTTTTTAAATGTCGACTCATCAGTCCATAAAATTTTCTCCTAGAATCTCTGGTGTCTCTGTAACATTGTTTGACAAAACTCAACTGCCTACCTGCTGAGTTGGCTGAAGGTTCTATTGCAGGTACCAGGTGAAGAAGGTTAAGTAAGAATAACACTTCATTTGAATTCTGATGGCTGATTTTTATCCAGGGTATCCAAAAGGATAATCATACAGCTGCAAAAAATGTCATGTCTTATAGATTTTTATTTTATTGGTATATTTCTCAACAAATGCAAGATCCAATTACAGAGAAACACTACACAATAATGACAATTCTAAAATACGCATCTGTGAGCCCTGGGATCTTGAACTATAAATTCTTACTGTAGGTGCTATTGCTTACTAACCTCACCTAATTTGTATGTAGTATTTGAGACAGCACACCATTGCTATCTCCGTTATTTTTCTATATAGTTGGGATATCACAATTGTGCGAAATTAAAAAGGGAGTCCCGACGGTCGCATGGATAACCCAGTCCATAGCGATCTTGTATGGTTCCCAACACATATATGTATATATATATATTTTTGAGACGTGGTTATTTTTGTCTAAACCAGTTAGGTGAAAAATAAAGCTTCATAATAAAATAATTGTTTAATTTAATTGTCTATCTCATCAATATTATAGTTTGTTCAACTGCCTCTGGTCTGTTGACACGTTTTTATTCAACATATCTTGATAAATCTCACCATCTCAAGTGATTTGGCAGCATAGCACACATTTTTACAAACTTTCGTTCCATCCATAGACACTGACACTACCAGCCTTCTGTCATTTGTCAAATGTTTCATTCTACTTATGATCCCGTCACACACCATTTTGTGCAGCATCAAGTGGTTATTTCACGATGTAACATGCAATCTTTCATACTATTGTAAGTAATTTAAAAACGTTATGCACAATAGTTGCTATTTCTTCTTAATGTTATTGTAGCTCCTGATGATGGTGGCATAGTCCATTGAAAGCTAGAGACTAATAAAGTATGAATCTTGTTGAAGTACCCAACTAAAGGTGGAAGCTTTATTATTCATAAAGTAATAATGTATATCAATAAATCCAATAACTCATTCCAGGGAGCATTATTAACAATTTCAAAAAAGGTGGTCTACCACTGAAGGCTAAGCATCTTACACAACATTTTGATGGAAAAAGACACATACAGGGAATTAATTCTCTAAATTACTTATATAATATATAAAATCATATGATGGTACTATTTCTTTTTGGTAATTTGTATACAGGGTGATTAAAAGACAATGCTACAATTTCTAGAGAAGACAGTGCATCCCAAAATAACAAAAAGGTTACTGTAAACATAAATTATAAAATATTCTATAGTCAAGATACAGTGTGTTGTAAATTTCTATGCTACTGAGACTGAATAAGTACAAAACATTAATATTGTTCTGATGATGCTACAGTGACAGGTTTACTCTCCTAATGCAATTAATACAATTTTCAATGTCAAATTTCACTAACTTCAATGTGTTTTCAAACTAGGATGCATTGAGCTTCTTTGTACAAGTACCATGTATCTCGGTTAGATCCATTTTTATATGAACCTATCATGGTTATTTGCTTCTGCTTTGTCTTAGAAATGGTCCCACTGTTGCATTTTCCAGTGTGATCATCACAGTGTGTGGAAACATATGATCAGCCTTTTATCTGTGCCAGTCTGAATTGTTAGTCATGTATTCTGGAATGCCACTTTAGGTTAAAATGGACGCTTTTCATGTCAAATTTCTTCATTGGCGTGATCTTTTGTTTCAGGTCGACGAATCTGGTGTGGAGGAGAAAGACGTAGAGTTGGTGATGTCACAAGCGAACGTAAGCCGAGCGAAGGCTGTGAAGGCGCTAAAGAATAATAGTAATGATATAGTAAACGCCATCATGGAACTCACCATGTGAGTTCCTCCTTTCGTTCATACGTTGCCGCTTTCGTTTTAATTATTTACCATTATTTCGTACTTTTATCTTTGGGTTACATTACATTACATAAGAATCCAGTGTTGTAAATACATATTAAATCATTAGTTGTATAATAGTTTTGTTTTATTTTTATAAACGTCCTCCACGCAATTCTACCATAAGCGTCCGCAGGGAGGGCAGGCTGAGAATCCAGCAATTTGTAGGAGTTGTCGCTCCCCTGCCCTTCAAAAAGTGTTTGGGGTAGGTACACTTTTACAAAAATTATATTTCGCCGATGATCTGCCTGATTTTGGAAGTCCCATTTTAGGCCATACATCTTATCAAAGTGAAAAACTTGTAGATATTATTTTCCATTTGTTGTAGATTAAATGTACTGAAGAGGAAACATACCTGGTTTCTAGAAAAGGAAATATAGCACAACAAAGTTCGACTTCTTTAGTTATTTTGAAGCAAATTTCATCGATGTTATTTAAATATATCGTAGAGAGAAGTAAATAGAAAACCCGAATAAGAACATAGTCCAGTTAAATACCGGAAACTGCCGCAAAAGTGATAACATAACCACAAACTTGAAGAGAGGGCGGTCCGACTGTTCGATGACTCTTCTCTAACAGACAGTCTCGGAACTATTTCGCACTGGCGCGCCGTCGGCGATCTAGCTCTTTCCTACCGCTACACCAACGGGCTTTGCTCCTCGGAGCTCTCTTCCATGATGCCTGCGAGACAGAGCCGCCTGACTTTAGCATCCCATCCTAACCGTGTCGAGCTTCGTACATCCAGAACTGGCCGATACAACGGCCCCTTTGTCCCGAGGGTGTCAAGACTGTGGAACAATCTACAAGAGGAAGCTTTTCCCAGTTCTGCTAGCATTAGGCAGTTCAAGGATCGTATTAACAAAATGTCTTTGGAATTATCATAGCAGCCGCGGTGTTCCGGCATTTAGGCTCCTGCCTGCGCGGCTGCTTAGATGTAAAAAAAATCGTAAATCCTGAACAGTTTCTGTTGATAATGTGAGAATATATACCTAATGCTTTCTGAAAATACTTTGCCCACTCAGATTGTATGTGTGGCCCAGGTAAAAATAAAAGGAATTCACAAAGACGCTGAAAAGTAAAAAACGACGCGCTCAATAATGAACCCCGAAAAACAATTACCGGCTTTGAAAACTAATGGCTATCCATTATTTTCGTACAATGATAGAAAGTGTAGGTAGCGAGATTAATCCCTGATAGCAGCGTCTGTTTTTTTTCAAGTTTCATAATCCGTAAGTGGTAGGCTGCTAATATTTGAAGATCACAACACCTAATTTTTTAAATTCTAAGGCAAGGCTTCCACCTCCATGATCATTGATGAGCGATTTTGGTGAATACCCATCTAGCGCTCATTGGGGAGTGTCATCCTGCTTCAAAATGGTTTTCACCAGCCTACACGCAAGCAATGATAACTTGTATTACGTAATATTTGTGACATTTTCCGTACTCAGGATGTGTTCATGGCCGTCTTGGAGCGAGTGGCGCACTTAACAAATAAGTAAAAAGTTTTGGTTGAATGAAAATAATATAATGTACAGATAGATATGCAATATGTTAAATTATTGATTAATTACAAAACCAACGAAGGTGATAATCGTGACCAAAAGTTAGTATGTGCATATAATATGAATATTTTGTAATAATTTGTGCTTATTTATGATGCATAGGCTTAAGCAATGCCAAATTGTCCTGAATCAGTATTTCCCTGAAACTATACCGTTATCCCAGAGTTGAAGCCTGAAGAGCGGAATGTATATATGAAAATATAGAAACCACAACTTTTATAGCTTGTTATTCAAGCTACAAAGTTGAATCAACAACTTTTTTCTATATATAATATTGACAGAGCCGTAACAAAAAATAATCACGGTATTTGGTAACAGATTCATGATTTAGAAGTATCAGTTACTAAATCACGGTTGGTGAGAGAACTGCCACCACTATCTTGTGTGTATGATGAGCTGGCGCTGGCAAGCGTTCGCCCAAAACTCCCTATTAAATTGTAGGGATGGGCTGTAATTGATAAAAAAACCTGTTGTAGATTGACCGGTTATTTTTTTAATAACTTCAACCTGGATCGGTTAACACGTTAACCGAAGCAAAAATAAACGGTTATGCGGTAACCGAAAATGTCACTTATTTTTGTTCATTAACAATTTAAGATGGCATTTTAGGATATCTATGTGACTTATAGCATTTTCATCCTAAAATTTTCAGGTCTTGCGATATTTCTGCACTCAGTGCAAAACTAGTTAAAATGACGAACCAAAAAAGTATAATAATGAGTAGTTGTGGAAGCGTGAGCCCACAACTCTAAATAAATGGTAAAAAATAGTTACCCAGTGGATATTCGGAACACGTTGGCAAATATGATGCTAGTATGAGGATGACTTGGTACTCTGCTACGATCACTTACCGTCTTCTTTGTGTGTGTACTTTTTTTATTCATACTTGTTTTGTATTACATGATTGTATATGAAAGCCGCAATGAAGAATAAATTATATCAGAAAACCTTATTTCTGTTCGTAAATCTTGTCCTATGCTCGTTTACATCGCGCTTGGGTACATACGGTATAAATACGGCCAATGTGGTAGATCGCAAACTTGTGTCACATACACGAAAATAAGAGAAAAATCATAAGAGCAAAGCTGCCAAGGACGCTGTAGTGTCAGTTTTGCCATGTTATTTGACTCTAAGACGGCTGTTGGAAAAAGATGGTCAATAATGAAAAAACATGAGTATTATCAAGCTCTCCTGATACCTTTACTTTGTCATCCGCTGTTTTGTCAACCGGTTACAAAATTCGTCGTTCCTATAAATTATTGTAAAACGCCTTTATGGCGTCCTTGATTTTTATAGTCTTTTCTCTCCTCCATGAAGGGTGTGGTGTTTCTAGATTTCTACTGTTCCATGTCACTGTCAGCGCTCTCCTATTGTGAGGCTATGTTTTCTTTTTGAATCGCAGAAAATTTCAGGTTATATAACAGATGTCATAAATCAAAAGCATGAAAAAGTCGATGCGAATGACTTTTTGTAACATAACCTCAACATAGAGCGCTGACACGGATCAGTAGAAAACTGTGAAAATTAAGGAGGCTATAAACGCCTCCTACACTTGTAGGAACGACTGACGATACTGCCCTTAATGAGTTTGTTGTCCGTCTCTCAGGTCGCCCATATTCATGGTGGTTTTTGTAGGCAAAAAATAAACCTTTTGTAACCTATTATAACATAGCCGGTTAATCGAACTTATAAGCCAGTTATTCAATTCACAGGTTATTTTTGCCCATCTCTATTAAGCTGTCAACTGTCAAACTATAATGGATGTTCGAAGGTCGTTCTCATTTTTGAGTGATATTTGGCTGTATTCAAGTATTTCATTAGCCCCGAACCAAATATTCATAAAGTTCAGGCATCGTGTTTGATATTTATCAATAAATAAACCAGTGAGCAGCGACAGCGGTCAAAAGCAACCCCGTCTACTTGTGTCATCTGGGTGAGTAATCAGTTTGTACACGTGAATCGCGCAGAAGTTGCAGAAAATTCCAGGCTGTATCGCAGGTAGCGACTATTGCAATATGGAATCGTGGGGTGAGTTTCAAATGAAGGTATTGGTAGCCAAATCGCAACTGAAAATTAAATTTTTCAGACGACGATACTTTCGTGCCCTCAGACGTGCCTGCGCCAACAGTTGCTGTGGTCCCGAACAAATGGGAAGGCGAGGATGAAGATGACGAAGTGAAGGTAAATATGGACATTATAAGCATTCTCAAGTTAATTCTGGATACTCGTGATTACATAAAAAGATGCATCATAATGCAATAAAGGATACCATACACTATGCTGTTACTGCCCACCACAATTTTTCAACGGCAGTGCATTTTTGACTGAATGCCTGTATGATGAAATTAATTGCAACTGTTGAAATCATGGGCACTCAGGAAATATCACCATTATTTAACTATTTTTTTTTTGTAATATGTGCCTTTATACCCTGCATATACTAGGAGTCTATAAGGTGTGTCTGAAACTTGATAGTTCATAACTTTTTTAGTTTTTGTTTGAAATGCTAATTTAAGAAAATCGAGATGTATCTCATTAAATTTGTATAGTTATTCTTATTATCTTTTATTCAAACTGCTTCTCACAAGAATTAGATAAGTTAATTTTACTAAAATGTGTGATATCCCTGATACTAATTTTTATTATAAACAATTTGAGATATGAGTGACAGAGAGTATAGTAAAAGCATTGCAAAAATCTGACTCAGGAAATTAGGTACAGTTTATGTTCCTTAATTCAGGTTACTTCCAAAAAAAGCTGATTTCAGTGAAATTTTTAGTATTATGTGTTTTGTAAGCTGCTTTTGTATGAAATGATAAACTGTTATTTATTTAAATTATCAATCTTTGTATTGTAACATTCCTGAGGAAGTTGGTAGTTGTTAATCCAAAATTGATCTAGATAGAAGAGCTTTTATCATTTTATGCATTGTGGCTTTCTCAAATACCCATCCCCCAACATTTTGCCTTTTTCATATGAACTGCTGAGGTGACTATACAATTTTTATATAGACAAAACATTCTTGAAATTTGTAATACAATAGTTTGTAGTAACCATTAATACTTAATCTAGAAAAGTTTCTTTGTGAATTTTATGTTGTTGAATTTCATCACAGGAAAGTTGGGAGGATGAAGATGAAGAGAAAGAAGAAAAGAAAAAGGAAGAAAATTCTAAAACTGAAACAGAAACTAAAAGACCTAAAAAGAAATCTTTAGCTGAAAGAATTGCTGAGAAAGAGGTATTATTCATTTTTGCAACCATATTTGAATAGCATTTCACACAACTCATTCATGACTATATTAAAAAACAACTTTGAGAAAGTTTATCAAATCTTCTGTTTTTCACTCGTGATTAAAAATCTGAGCAGTACTTCCTGTATTATAAAAGGGTTAATTAATACCAGAGAGATTACAGATGAATCATCAGAAATGGGTGATGGGATGTACCATCCAAAAAACATAATACATTGACTTCAAAATTCATTGTTGTCAAATTGTAAAATTTTTGGGAACTCTAAAAGATGTTTCACTTGAAAGATGATATAAAACAAATCTTAAGATTTTTTCAATTTCACTTTCATTTTCAAATAAGTTCTGTATTTTAGTATGTTTAATTGTAGCTTTGAAGTAGAAAGTGTTTTTGCCATGGGCTCATATAAAAATACTACATTAGGCCCTTAAAAACCAATGAAGCACTAAAAAAGTGAAAGTGTATACATCATTTAAAAGCAAACATTTCATAAATCATTCTGAAAGGAGGAGGGCCCATACAGCCAGTTTTGGGCCGAATAGAATTTTGATAAGGAAAACTACTTATAGATTTTTGGGGTTACCGAGTCGAAATCTGACGGGTTTTGAGGTTATCTCAAGGTCAAATTAAGAAAGTGTGGCGAAATCAAACATATTAGACCATTAAGTTTTAGAGATTGCTGAATTTATATCAGTTTCTCGGTATCAGGTCACTTAGAGCTTCTGCCAGATAGTTTCGCAATGACCTTTGGAAGACATGATACAGACAAACTGATCCTAGATTCGGACTTAGCAACCCTACAAACCTAAATACAGATCTAGCCATAGCCCCATTCACCTTAAAGGTACCTTGAAGATAAAGGTGGCTATGATCAAGTACATCTGATTTTCCAGCATTTTCTTAGTTTGCCTGGAACAGACAGACTCACCTCAGATTTGGAGTTAGCGTTCCCAAAAACTTATATGGGTGACAGAAAGTACCAGATACCTGATTATTAACTCTGTAAACCTCAAAACTGACCTTGAACTGGCCTTTAGCCTGGACAGGAGGAGGTTACTATAAGTGCCGTTTGTGGTCATATTGTTTAGTTATTTTAAAAAAATTGGTTTTCTCCTTCTGATCAAAATTGTAGTAGGCTGTAAACTGCACTTGTGGACCCTTCTACTTGAGTTACATATGTTTTGGACCAAAAACCCTGCTTATGTGTGACCTTTTGCCAATAATCTGAAACTTTTTATATAATTTAGCTGCATATTGCTTTCCAGCCTTGATCAAAATCATAGTATAAGTTTTTAAAATCACAAGGTTAAAAAGACACCCAGCTACAGTAGCGGACAAAAGTTTGGAAAAATTCTTAGTAATTCTTAAAAAGTGCGCAAGTTTTTTATTCTTTATTATTAACGACTATTTTTTTCTCATATAGTTAGCTTCCAGTCTTGAGGATAAAATGACAATTTGTGATCGCTGTGTTACTACAGACTAGCATTAAAATACCTTCATATTATTTTATGACCAAAAATGAGATGACAAAAGTATGGTGGAAACATATTTTTTATTACCAAATTAAATACAATAACTCTGCAAAAAGATTTAAAAAATACTGTTTAGCTAATATTTGGTAGCATAGCATTTAGCATTCAACACTGCCTGACATCTGCTGCTCATGATAGACACCATTTTTTTACAGATGTCTGTTGGGATATTTTGCCAAATATTTTTTACATAATCAAATAAATTGTTTCCATTTTTAAAAGTTTTTCTAGACAGTTCACTTTTGACATGCTCCCAGAGATGTTCTATAGGGTTTAGGTCCAGGGATTGTGAAGGCCATGTAAGAACATTAACATTTTTTACTCTTAACAAGTCCTTTACGAATTATGAGGTATGCTTGGGGTCATTATCTTGCTGGAATGTCCAAAAGGAAGCATGTGTTCACTAAGAATATCTTTGTAAAGTTTTTGATCCTTTTTCCCAACAATTTAAAAATCTAGTTCCACAACTAGAAAAACAGCCCCAAACCATGATGTTGCCTCCACCGTGCTTAACTGTGAGCAACTGATACTCTCTGTTGAATAGTCTTCCTATTGGACGTTTCACATATGTCACAAATTCAAACAAGTTAATTTTGCTTTCATCGCTCCATAGAACATAGAACTGTCTTTTGAAAATTCTTTTACTTTTGCCATTCTCACTGATGTTAATATTTACCCCACGCAATATCAGAGTATCGCAGAACAAATAAATACGGCAGAACTGAAATGTTTCTCTTTACAAAAACTATGGTATTTAAGAAAACGCGTGTTTTTATTTCCAGAGAATTTGAATATTGATAAGATATACCTTGTATTAGTAAGGAACCCAAATGTAGACTTTAATATTTATATTATCTGTTCCTTCTCACAATTTTAATTTAGGTTCATAAAATAGTTCATAATAATGTTAATATTTGTTTCCAAACTTTTGTCCGCTACTGGTTGCATTTGTTCCCCATTGGTAACAGACCTATGCATTTTGCATTTATATTCATTGTCGAGTATTTTGCAGCGTTTGAAACAAGAAGAATTAGAAAGACGCCTGAAAGACCAAGAAGAAGACATTTCCCCTGAGGAGCGCCTCCGAAGGCAGCAAGAGTCCGATCTGAGCCTGGCGCTAGAGACGACCTTCGCTGCCAAAAACGAAAACTGTACCATCGGCGATCTGACAATGCCCGAAACCAAAGAAGAGTTCGAGACATTCGCGGAATCGCTGACAAAGAAACTCAGTCCATTGACCAAAAGTCCCGAGTATGTTGGTTTTGTAGAGGACGTAACCAGGAATTTGTGCGCCAGCATGTCGTCATTTGATATTAAGAAAATCAAGAATGCTGTAGATAATTTGTATCTAGAGAAGCAGAAGATCGAGAAAGGGGATAAAGCAAAAAAGAGCAAAGCAAAGAGTAAAGCGAGAATTAGAGTGGAGGGTGATTCGGTAAGTTATATTTTTTTTTCGATTTTTTTTTAAGTAGAAATGTTTTGTTTTATGACATATTATATGGATGTTGAATGCGCAGCTTTGAGGACGACTTGTTACAGCAGTTGCTATGGACTGGGCATCTGAATAATGCTATGGCTCAATATGATGACTGCCATGTTTATAGACAGTTTTTAATGCAACAAAAATAACGAATCATTACGCATTCCATTACGTTATTTTTGACAGCAATACCAAAAAAGGATGGTTCGAAAACAAGGGCTTTTATGACTACTAAAGTGAACTGTGAGAATTTGAAAGTAGTGACTGCTGACAGCCATGACAGGTTGCTTATTTTATTCGATCTTGACGTGAAGCTAACTCCAAAAATTTCTTAACCATGTAAAAGTTTCGGTAATATTTCTGTCCAAACCGGATAAGAAATAAATGGGTTTAGATTCATACCACCACAGAACGATAAGTGACCACAAAACCAGCAGAACTACAAGAAAAGACTACCTTACCGCGTTGCATATACATATAACAAAAATCAGGACAATAGAGAGAATTTGCAACCTTTTTTTTATATTTTCTGTCAGTTATTTACATTTATCTATTACCGTAAATACATATTTAATTCAGGAAATGTCTGTATTTGTTTCAAGTTATTTAAAAGTGCAATGCCAATGTCGTTGATTTAAACGCCGCATTTTTCGCGCGCTTCGCAGTGACGTCACATCTCCTGGTTTATCATTTTATTCTATGTTTGGTTAATTTGCTATAAAGTTTTGAAAGATTCATGTTCTTTTGTTGATTTTCCGACGTTGTCTTGGCGGTAAAATAATCCTGTTGGTGGCAGCACGTCCACTGTCAAACGGTGTTGACATCTATGTTGAAAAGAAGCGTAACCCATTGTATAGTGGATACCAAATAAAATCCGATGCACGTCATAGTTGATGTCATTCATAAAAATCATGGTTACCAACAGTTGACTACATTCAATGTGACATTTCTACTTGAAGTTTAAATTTCCCCGTCTCGATTCGGTTGGTAGTGCCGTGCAGAGAAATGTGAGGTTGCCACTTCTCATTTGTTGACATCAGTTGCCATTGTCCTTTTGTCGTACTATTATTGTTTAGTTTGTGAGTTTTGCGCTATTTGAGCTTTGAATCGTTGCCTTGCCAATTAAAAGTTGTTCTTTTCAGAACAAAAGTTACTGTGAAGTGGTATAAAGTATCCAAAATGCCAAAACAACTTAACAGTCGGTGTAAAGAGCTCATATCAATTCTGGCAACAGCGCACAGCTCCAGATCGATGACGTGCATCGGGTTTTATTTGGTATCCACTATAGTTAGATAGCTCAGTGGTGGATTCCGCGTCAGCAGTACTCATTGGAACTGAAAAAGCTGATAGGTTTATAATCAGTGACAGTGACAAAGGATTGGCTGCTCACTTGCCGATATCTTGTCGTCGCACCAATAGCGTTGCGTTCCGATATTTTAAATTTGCCGCGTAAGCACCTTACCCTCTATAATGGCTCCTATTCACAATCGGCGATTACAAACGATTGATAATAATAATAATAATTAACGTCTTTTGTATTTGTAATATTCTTACAGGAGGCGAGATTTAGATTATATATCTATTCTACCATCAAACCCCCGCGAGCACGATCGTGTAGAGGGCATACTCGGCTGTAGTGATGTCAAACACGGTTACTTTTTAGTAATCACGGTTACCGGTTCCTTTAACCAAAAGTAACCCGTACCTGGTACCGATTACTGGCATTACAAAAATGGCAACGGTGTTATACATACTTATTTTGCTCTATTAACGATTAGCACAAAATATTTAGTAATTCACGGTAGGAACTTAACCAGCACAATGTAATTCAACAATTAATTGTGGATGTTTAGTCTAGGTCGTTGATATTGGAAAAATTTAGCGAAAACGTACAGTAGAAGTAGTATGATATAATATGAGAGAAATGTAAGAAATGAAAAAGCCATATTTATTTGTACATTTATATCGTTCCCATAAGTATATCATATATACATTGTATCGTCAAATATTTATCACCTGTATAACTTCCTAATTTCCTTGATCATCGTATGGCTTTCATTTCCATATTCCATTGCATTTGCTTATATGACATACAGTAATGGACAAAAGTATATTCACTAATTAATATTGTGCTGTATTTCTTTTTTAACTTGTTTTATTAATACACCAACCTGTATACATAATTCGTTATAGCATAATTCTCACTTATACATAAATAAATTCATTAGACTCCCTTCAATAAAAAATTAATCGAAAAAAACTGGAACTATGAAGGACAAAAATACATAAAGCAAAACAATTATAGAAAAAAGAAGTAAAGTTCATTGAATTATAGAAAACCAACCATGTTTGTGTTAATATTTTGTAGCATAACCATTATTATCTTGTTATAAGATTCATCAATCTGTCGCCACTTTTGCTCTAAAGGGGCAAAAAGTTCATCCTTGTTTGAATAATTTTTATCTCGTATTTGCTTATCTAAGTATTCCCATAGATTTTCAATGGGGTTTATATCGGGAAACTGTGAAATCCATTTGAGAACTGGTATTTCTTCATCCAGAAAGAATTATCTTGCTGGAAGATTGATCTTAAGGGCATATTGTCTTCCATATAGGGTAACATGACATGCTTTAGTATGTTTGTGTATACAAACTTATCCATAATGCCTTCTATTCTATGTAAAGATCCCATCCCAAACCTCGAAAAGCACCCCAAAACCATAACATGTTTGACAGTGGGCAAGGTGTATTTGGGGTTCAATCTTTGTCCACTAGGACGTCTAACGTAATGAACAACCATCTGATCCAAACATATTGAACTTGGATCCGTCACTGAAACATACCCTCTTCCAGTCACAGATGCTCCAATCAACATGCAACCGTGCAAATTGAAATCGGTCCTTACGGTTTTTTCTCGAGATTAGCGGCTTCTTACTCGGGCGACGTGCAAATAACTTCAAATCATTTAATTCGTAGAAACACTGACAATTCCTTTTGTCTCGATTTTGGCTTTTATTTGTCTTGGGGTATTAAACGGATCTTTGGACGAAGTTACTTTAATTAATCTAACTGATCTAACATTTAGTTTTCTAGGCCGATCACTTCTCTTAGAGGCTTATTTCAAAATACCTTTTTGTTTATATTTGTTCAATATTGCCCAAACTGCTTTACGCTTCCAATTTTTGGCAATGTCGACTTGACGTTGACCATCTTTGTATAACTCAATGCTCTTAGTTTTCACATCGAAGGACATTTCTGGACCACACGGCATGGTCTTGAAATCACTCAACTTATTCCACACTACTTGATGAACACAAACTAATCCTCTTCTGACACGAAACTGTACTAAACTAATGTTGAAAAGAATTTGTCTGCATATTTTTGTCTCTCATAAAAAAGTGCTTATACTCAGTCTTGTATTGTGTTCATTGCAGATAATGTAAAAACAAGGAATTTAGGTAAATATTCATATTTGTCTATATACTTTTGTCCATTACTGTATATCCAACCCACTTTGCTTTGAGGTTAAGATACGTGCGTAGTCCGTTGCCTGTTCCCATACCAGTAATCACGTAATATGCCCTATTTCACGAGTATCCATCACGTTTTGACGTCTACTGAGGCGAACAACTGATCAGCAAGTGACTTTATTGTATTAGTCTGCAAAGTTGGCTATAATGAATCGGGTGTAAATCTAGCAAAAATTGTTTGTTGCGTTTTATTTTTTGTATGCAAATAAACTTTTCTAAATACAACAGCTTTTAGCAAGTACAAAATGAATCTGTAGCGTGCAAAAAACAAAATATGGCTCTATCTACCTGGCATCCATCAGAATTATGTGTCCTTTGCCGATATGAGAAATTTTGAAATACTACTAGATACCCAGCTGTCATTCTACCGTGATTTATACTCGAGAAATAGGGTATTCTCAGTAATCGTGAAAGGGGGTCGACGGTTCGAGGCTCCGCGGGGGAACCGCGTGCCGACCTGTAATGACACATACCGACACGAACGATTACGTTCCGTATCGAGTAGTTACTAGTAATCGCAGATGAAAAGTAACCATCGTGTATCAAATTTTGTAATCGGTTACTTCGGATCGAGTAGAGTATCGATTACTGAATACATTATGGACGATTACACGATCAACGATCACCGCCGATAGTGAAGTGCAGGCATAAGTTACTCATTGACCATTTCATAATTTTTTGTTTGTTTCAGCAACTCTCTCAGTTGTCTGCGTACGTGAATGACTTCGACGACTATGATGACTTCATGTAGCAAAATGCAGATAATTAGGATTTTTAATACATTGGAACATTTCTGAATACGAACACGGTAGTTGGTAACAAATTGAAACAATGTACATTTTATCATCGCGCCAATATATTTTTGTTTACATATTTATGAACGTTTTTCTTTCACATTATTAACAGCGGTTTATGTTAACGCAATTTCTAACGTCAGTTGTATGTAGTATATTTCAACTTACTTGATATTGTATGGAGTTGATGAAGGTTGTTAATAAAATTGTATGAATATATTCTTATAATCTTATTTTTCTATGAAAGATCCCGTAAAAATGGTGATACGCGTTCACTTCTCGTATGAGGCATCCATCTCTTGTTCAGATAACATGCGTCAAGACAGACACGCGTTCTCGATTACCAAATTTTCGCGATACTATTGGAAAGTAAGCTGTATGGCGTTTAGCACCACATTAAGGGGGTGGTTGCGACAATGGCGAGCGAAAAAAAGGGCTGGACGCTTTTGATGACGTTCATAGCAAGCAGACGCGAAATGACGTCGTTGTTATGATGATGCCTCATATGTAAAAAAATTCCACATCGGAGCTTTCTGAATATCTCTATAGTCCAGGACTATTAGACTTTCTCTGCTGAAAAAAATCTCACCTGGCAGAATTTTTTACCAGAGCTTTGCTTCAGCATTATAAATCATCCCTCAAAAGTCCCCATGAATCCAAATGGAGATTTTTTTATGGGGGGTCAAAGGTCACAAAAACACCTTTTTCCTCATATCTTTGGAAATATCAATTCTACGATAAAATGAACGAGCACCTTTCTTGTTCAGTATGAAATTATCCACAAAAAAGGTTTTATGCATTTTTTCGTAGAGATCTTTTTTTCAAAGAAATTTTACTTTCAATGTTGAACATTGAGAAAATTGTAATATAACGTACTTTTTTCCACGTCACCATAGAGGTTAAGTACCAGACGCGTTTTTTATCATGTTGTCTCCCCAATAGGCATAATCCACGAAGACGGAATGAAAAAATGATCTTATTACTTTTTTCCTTAGTCATCAATGTGACAAGATGCGGCATCATCTAAGTCTTCGCCAACCTCAAGTTTCGAGCATAGGAAATTCATGGGGTTTATATTCTCATCGAACTCCACATTATTCGATTCTTCATTGTCCGAGATCATATTCAGACATGACTGTCCATGACAGAAGCCGCAAATGGCAGAACAGTGTAGTTTCCTACATCCGCAATTAGCTCCACAACCTTTCGTACAATTACAAAAGATTGTGTTTAATAAGACATCAGGAGCAGGTGACAATAGAGTTTGTATTGGCTGTAAATATTCGTCGGTCATAGTACATCCCCAATCCAATGGATTCAAATTCTTTCCAAGCCATTTCTGGACTTATATACAAACGACATAAATGTGCTTGAGCTGCACTCGGTGTTGTCGAACATTTGATTTGTAGGAGGATAATAATCGCTATTCGTGAGTGTCGATTGTATATCTTCAAGAATAATTGGTGCAGCGGCCTCTAAAATTCTAAAACGTTCAGGTTTTGTTCAAGATGTCATGACGAACACCGGAGAAACAAATAATCGTTGAACTTCGACTCTTTGTTGTAATGCCTACTTTTTTACCGTAGTTTTCAACAATTTTTGTTTTTACAGTAACATCATCAGGTACAAAATAAGTACATACCTTTCTAAGTTCCGATAAAGTGAACTGACAGTCATCATTATTTTCAATGTAACTATATATTTTCTCCATTGCCAAAGAGATGTTGATATCTTGAGGTCTCCCATGCTTTTGGGCAGTTAAAGGTCGTGCAAAAGAGACGTAGCAATAACCATGATATTTTGCATTTACTGCTACTAAATCCTCTTCATAAATAATGCGATACTCTACCAAGAGAATCATTACGCTTTTGAGCTATAGCAAGCACAGTCGATTTAAATGATGACTTCCTTGATTTTTCGACGACGAAACGTGGGAACTTTTTTCTCATATTCTTCGCATCATGCCATTCCACGAAATAAACATTTTTTGACAAATTCAAAGTGCTCGTTCTCTGTAGAACGCATTCTTCACCGATGAGGGCTAGTGGTCGAGGTGCTGGGTTCAGCATCTCGCTCCCTTTTAGCAGCAGTTATGCTACTTGCACGAGTATATTCTTTGCGACACACCACGTACACTCTGATCGATTCAACACTCCGCAAAAATGTAATTTTTCCATCATTTAGCTCGATACTGGGGTCACGTAAAGTTTTAATACCGCGCTCGAAGCAAACAGTCGCTCCGTCTGATTCGTCGCAAATGATGCAATTTTCGGCCATTTTTCAATTTACGTATATATGAGAATAATATCACGTAAAAACTGTCTGAAATTATCCGACGCGTCTGTATACAACTGAGAATAGCAGAAGACTGGACAAATGACATCAATGCCCCACAGTCAGGTATACAGTGACGTACATTCTAACACAGAAATAAAGGGCCAGCTGTGCTCTAGGTCACAAGAGGGGATACTTATAGAGCCTCTACCGCAAACATTAAAAAAAAAATGTCAAAACACGGTTTGACGTGAAATTTTTGATTTTTGACAATTACAACAGTCACGCAATTTTTTGTAAATTGACAGTCTCTACGAAAAAAATGCATAAATCTTTTTTGTTGAGAATATTATACTGAACAAAAAAGGTAATAACTATTTCGTTTCGTTTCATTTTATCGTAGAGTTGATATTTTCGAAGATATATGGAAAATAGTGTTTTTTGTGACCTTTGACCCCCCATAACAAAAGCTCCACTTGGATTCATGGGAACTTTTGAGGAATGATATATAAGCTCTGGTTAAAAGTTCAGCCAGGTGGGATTTTTTCAGCAGATTAGCCTTCTTTTCGCCTAATAGTCCTGGACTATATAGTCAAATATGAGCTCCTTGATCTGACGTACAAGAGTTCCATAATAATTAATTCGGTGGAGATTCACTAAAAATCGAAGCGAAACCAATATTTAAAATTTAAAAGAGTTTTTATGTCGTTCTGTAAACACGGCTTCTGAACACAAGAGTTTTCGCCAAAACAACGACGATGCACTATTTGCACACTAGGAACAATCTAGCAGCAAGCTATCATTTTGTAGTTTTTTTTTTGATGTTTTATAATTTATTACGTAATAGAGCTCTACCGGTTAAAAAATGGCCAGTGCCTTTTGTACTTCAGATAGTGGTTCCGTGTCTCATGGAAGTCCCTTGCTGGGGGTAGCTCTTTTCTCACTTGTGGGTTCGAAATCGAAATAGGTCGGCACTTGAAGCGTGTATCCAATGGTGGCATATAGTGCCGTGGCGGTTTTTCCAAAATTCTTGTACGGGGTTTTCCATTAAGGTCTTGACAACTTTCTTTTTAAATAAAACGCAAACCATTTGAGATATCTCGAAGATTTTATTATTGTATTGATGTATACTCGGAACATTTATGTTTGGAATTCGACCTCGTTCATATGTTCACCACGGGCACGTTCGCAGCGATCGATTCGTTGAACCCAGTTTTCAATGACTCGGCCACACATTTTGACAGAAACTGCCGCTATCACTCTATCAGTATTTACCCTGAGCTCCTCTAACGACGCCGGCTGGTTGGCGTAGACCAATGATTTAATGCAGCACCACAAAAAAAGTCTAGAGGTGTTAAATCACACGATCTAGGCGGCCATTCGGCAATACCTTTTCTCGATATAACACGTACACCGAGTTTTGATTTCAATATGTCGATTGTTTCACTCGCTGTGTGGCTTGTGGCACCGTCTTGTTGAAATCACATATCATTAATGTCTTACCCATCCAATTGACCAAAAAATAATGTTGCAACATGTCTCTGTAGCGATCTCCGCTGACTGTAACGTGACGGTCATTTTCATCAACGAAAAAAAAACGGCCCAATGACACCACCGGCATGAAAACCACACCATACAGTTGTTTTTTGTGGATGAAGTGGTGTTTCTTCAAGCACTTGAGAGTTTTCACCTGACCAATAACGCATATTATGTTTGTTGACGAAGCCGTTTGCAAAAAATGCGCCTCATCAGTGAAGATGATTTTGCGATGAACTTTTCTTGCAACAAGATCTCTTGGCCATCGTGTGGTCTGAGCGATGCCCAATTCTCGAGAACGTCGTGGATTCGACGGGAGCTTGAACGGCAGCAATTTTCCCGTTGTCTCATGGCAGAGGAACATCCAGCAGCGAATATGTGGACTCAATTTTTTTTACAAGACTATGAATTGCTTATCTACTGCTACAGAAACATCCAATAATAAACGTCAAGTTTTAAGCTCTTGTGTATAAAACTTCATTTTACAAAATATATATCTAAAAATGACAGCGGCATTTGCAAAAATAACCATCACTGGTTAAGCACCGCATATGTTTACTTAAAACTGCTTAAAATCACCGATCGTTATCCTTGACAATAGGTATCGAAACATATCACATCCTTTTAACACGAGGCATGTCGGATATGTTGGTTGTACGTTGTACCCCTAGCGCTGTAAAAAGTTGCATTAGAGCGAGTTGATCTCTGGCACCACAAAATTGATTTTAGATATTAATTCCGGGCAATCAAGTTTATAAACCGACTACGAAGTACTGTGATGTCATTTAATTAATTAGTAAACCAATGTATCAAAATTCATGACTTCAAGTAGAACAGATTCAATAGGTGAAACTGCATTTTGATAAATTGGCGACCAAACCAGTGCAGTATATTCCAGTTTACTCCTAATAAAAGATGTATATATTGTTTTAAGGCTTTTTACATCAGCAAAATCCAATCAGTTAATGACACAGTATCCGAATATTTTATTTATTGATGAGAACATTTTACCTATATGGTCGGAGAACGTCAATTTACTGTCAAATATTACCCCTAGATATTTGAATGTCTGCCATCTCTCTAGATTGGTGTTATTAATGTAGTAAGTAAACAGGATGGGATTAAACTTGCGAGTAAAGCTCAAAATTTTACATTTTGCTATATTTATATTAAGTTTGTTGCCAACGCACCATTTGCTCACCCTATTAAGGTCTTGCTGCAATCCCATAGAGTCACTAATTATAAATTTCACTGAATATTCTCAATTCATCTGTAAAAAATAGCTTCAATTTATATAGATAGCTGCAGTGCAGTATGAATAATAGGGGCCCTAGATTTGATCCCTGAGGCACACCCCCTGAAGTAGGAGTGTGAAGCATTGAGGCGTAATCCCCATACTCGACAATTTGCGTGCGGTCTATAAGATCTTTTTCGACGTTATATTCTTGCATGGTCTATAAAGGGGATGGACTGAACGATTTCAACCACAAGTTTGATCTGACAACATTCTCTCTCTGGTCAGTGCAATGCAATTTTTTGATATCAGTATATTTATATGCCCCCAGCCCTGGTTATTCTACATACCTATTAGCCATATTTCACACATCAAAGTCTCCTCATGCATTTGTTAAAAATTGAAATGATAGAGAAATGTGTTCCATATGCGTCTCCTGCTACCTGGGCTCAGCGCCCGGCGTAGCTATCTACTTGATTCTTCCTCTTCTTCTACTTCATCAGCCAACTTGACGGCATTTTTTTGCTTTCTCTAATTTTCAATAACAATGTACAGGACTGTGGCTCCAAATCTATACATATGTGGTTGAGATATATTATTAACAGATCATTTTTATCGTTAATCCTTGTTTCTCGATGATAGACAATCTTGAGAGATTATCTTCAGAAAAAAATTCTTAATGCCTGCAGGAAAGTTTGACATATATCATTTTGAATTTAATTATGTATAATCATTTATCAATGATACCCAATCTCATAAAATATGCAAATTATTTTATTAGCATTTCCTTCCCTTTTCGCATGATTAAAAAAATTCAGTATAAATGAATGAATGCATGCTCAATTTTGTAATACATACTGTGAAAATGTACCTCACGTTGCTTATTCTATTGGTCACTTTGACTAATGTCTATGTAAGTCATATTTTTCCTGTGTGTTCGCATTTTTATTTCAATTTTTTTTACATTTAAGATTTAAATGATAACGTTCGATTGGATAGCTCCGAAAAACTCACTGTACCATGTTTTTACTAAATTTTATTTGTGAAACATTTAGAATCCATTGAATTTTATCGTTTCATATCTAAAAAGGATCTTGTTAAATAGTGTGTTTCAGACGAAATCAAGGAACTGATGAATAATCTCCACAAAACGTGTGTTGGTAACACTGGTGTTGATGAAGGTAAATTAATATTTGTTTGTTTATTTGAACTATGAAATCAATAATCTTTGTTTCAGCTTTGATAGTGAACGCTAATAAAGGTCAGTTCGAGGAAGATGAGAAGTTTAAATGCTATACGCGATGCATCTTTGATGAAGTTGGACTTGTAAGTATATACGAGGGTTGATCCATATACTCTGCACATAATCCATTGCAGTAAAGCTGCTTTTCATTGCTTCCTACGCCATTGGCGAGGAACTGTGTGTCTCCGAGAAAAAAAATCGTAAATGGGATATTATATCTGGAAAAATTGTGCCACTTATTTCCCTCGGTCTGTCTGTCTGTCCGCTGCGCCATGACCTTGCTATAACTTGGAAAGTACCGGTCGGTTTTTTATATAACTCCTAAGAGTAAGCAGCAATCTGTCCGATTGGGCAATAAGCATGTTTTTCGGATTAATCTAAACTGAAAAATGGCGTCAAGTAGATTGACTCTATACTTCCTTCGCCTTCGTTGGAGGTTACAAAAAAGGGATGAGTCGATTCAAAAGGCGAAATCGAATCGTGACTATGTAGGTTCACTTAGGTAAGATGGATCTACGACATATGCATATCTGTTTCCACGGCAGATTTAGGCTAAATATATGAGACTTATTATGTCACAGGTGTCACAGAGATCAGCAGCTTCTTAATAATAGAAGGTCTTTCACTGACACCAATTATGTAACAATTTACAGCCATTTACCGCCATACAAGTTTCAACATACAAATTTGAAACAATTACGATTATATTCCCGCCGCCACTGAATTAATTTTCAAAATCTATGACTACCTAAACGATGTAAGTATTAAACTCGCGATAATATTTGAACTTCTGTTTACAAGAATTATGAGCACATTATACATAGGAATATTATCATCTGATTTTTCCGTTGCTACCAAGATTAGAAGCTCCTTAATGCTAGAATGTCTTTGACTACAAATTTTATCCACAATTCTGAGCACTTGCTCAATAGTACTGGGTGCGATATCTATTACTTTTTTTACCTATAAGTTTATGTGTTACCATGTGAGTCAAAGGTCATGTGGTATGCAAAAATGAACTGTCAAAGGTATGCCATTTATAGCCATGGATTCGTTTACAACACAACAATGCATTTTGGTTATCCAAACTTATTACGAAAACACACTACAGAGCCTGGAATTCGTTGGATTGCTAATCGTTTTGAGGAAACTGGTTCAGCTGAAGGTCGTAGACCATACCAACATTCTCGTCCAGGTCGTACTCGTGAAAACATAGCTGCAGTGAGTGAAAGTGTGCGAGAAGATCCAAACACCTCGACTAGGCACCGTTCGCAACAATTGGGAATTAGTGAGACCACTTTATGCCGGATTTTACACATTTATTTACACCTCCATCCATACAAAATCCAATTAACACAAGAATTGAAGCCGGCAGACCATCAACAGCAGCGTGTTTTTGTTAATTGGATGCTGGAAAGAGAAGACGGATTTTCGGCCAAAGTGCTCTTTTCTGATGAGGCTTTTCACCTAACGTAAATAAGCAAAATTGCAGATTCTGGGGGGCTGAAAATCCACACCAATATCATGAACAACCTCTCCATCCTGAAAAAATGACTGGTTGGTGCGGATTATGGTCTGGTAGCATCGTTGGACCATTCTGCTTTGAAGGTGCCGAAGAAAAGGCCATTACCATCAACGAGGAACGTTATCGCGGCATTTTAACAGACTTTTTGTGGCCACAATTGGATCGTATTGGTGCCGACGATCTTTGGATCATCAAGACGGAGCAACAGCTCACACATCTCGCCAAACAATAGCCTTATTGCGCACGAAATTTCAAGACCGCATAATTTTACGAAATTCAGATGTCAGTTGGCCCCCGAGATCGTGCGAATTAACACCTCTTGACTATTTTCTTTGGGGATTTTTTGAAGGAAAGTATATACGAATGGTCCCCGGACAATTTAAGACCTAAAGTGCAATATTCAGACTGAAATTGCCGCCATATACCCGATTATTCTGGGAAAAGTCAGTGAAAATTTTGATGTTCAGATGTTGGCCTGTAAACGAAGGTGCGGTGGTCACTTGACTGATGTTATTTTTCATACATAAATGGCATGAACCAACCTTCATTTATCAATAAAAAAAAATCGGTTTCACCTCGTAAAAAGGGTGTTGATTTTTCAAATAGAAAAAAAGTAATAGATTACGCACCCTGTACAATGTTTCTCCCGGAAACCAAATTGACGGTCCCCTATTGATTTAGCGTTGTCATCAATTTCCAGCAATATTTTTATATATACTTTTTCAAAAAGTTTTGAGAGTAGCGGTTGCAGGCTTATGGCGGGTCTGTATGAGGCGACTTAATTAAAGTACTTTCCTGGTTCCAGGATAATTTTTTTCTGGGTAACCTTTCAACTGATATACATGCTATGAGTTTTTATGGGTTTTGTCGATAATTCATGTAAAATTTTTCCTGCGATAAGATCAAATCCAGGAGTCTTTTTATGTTTGTTTCACTCTTAATTACTCTCAGTACTTCGCCCTGTTTAATTTTCGTGAAAGGTAAGACCATTTGAAACGGTGAGTCTAGGACCGTCACGGTTTTCTCTTCTTCAGTGCATTGTGTTCAGCGAAAATGGCCACAATTTATCCTTTTTTGCCCAGCTACTGGAATGATCCCTTATAAGAAGGTGTGTTTGGAATAGGATGGGTTATCAATTTTCTGAGGCTTTCCATAGTTAATAAGTTGTAGCCTTGTAGTTGTCAAATTCTCAAGATACTGATGACTACCATTCATATTTTGATGAAGCGCGTACACAAGATTACTATGCCAACGACGAAAAAGAGTTAGGGGCAAAAAACGGAAAACATAAAAATCGCTCAAACTAACTTTTGCCGTTGCAAATGCACCTGATCATTTCAAAAATAAAATATACTAAGGTTGTAGGAGGTTGTATCCTTGATATCAGTGTAAGGCATTATTATTCAGAAATTTGAGGTCTCGGTAGTATTACCGAGACACAATAACACACATAATTCGCACAATATTTACCTCTGTTACACAGCTACTCAACATTACCCGATATCCTTTACTTTTTACAATTCGAATTCAGCAATACCGACGGTGCCCAACCACAGAGTCAAATTTACTTGACGCCTTTTTTTTGTTCATAATCCTGACCAACATCAATATGCAATGTACAAATATTTTTTCTTTCAGTTTGATGATGACAATAAATTCGACGTAGAAGGAGCTATCGCGATGTTGCCTGATGAAATGAAAGATACCATTCTGGGCAGTGTTATTAAAGAATGCGGGGCTTCATGTACGTTATTTTATATAATCACAACCGAAATTTGACGTAATAGTACCATTATTCTGTTGTAGCTACTGGAAGTTGTCAAAGTATGTTTGAATTAAACAAATGTATATACAAAGGAGCACCTGATGTAAGATTTTTAATTTTCTATAATTTGATAAAAATCATGCTGTAAGAGATGCATCATGTTTTGCGATCGTTACTACCATATCATTTTCAAGATATAGTTTATCGTTCCACTTTTTTCAGCTTTACTTCCTTGCTTAAGAAGCAACCTATGTTGGCTATTGAGGCGTAATATATCCGGACTTCATATTCCTATATATTTGTGATATTTTAATAAGGTGACATCATAATAAAAAATACATTATTAAACAGCTTTTTTATTTGTATGGGGTTTGTCCAAAACGGACGCAGGAAAGTAAACGCATATTAAAACAAGAAAGATTGATATTCAAATCAAGTTGGGTACTTTATTTTGAAGGTTCATTTATACCATTTATGTATGAAAAATAATATCGCTCGTTCTCGAAATGCCCAATTCTTGGGATCGACGCGTTGTTGATTGTTTCGGATCGTCTCTCACACTCTCCTTCACAACAGCAATATTTTCCGGTGTGCGAACGCTCCTTGGCCGGCCAGAGCCTGGCAGATTTGCCACAGAACCTGTTGCCTCGAATTTACGCACCAGACGACCGATGGTTGTTTCGTTTGGGCGGTTGTTGCGACCGAAATGTTCACGAAGCGCGCGAAACGTGTTTTTTATTTTTTCACCATTTTTGTAGTGCTCTTGAATAACTTTAATGCGGTCTTCAATCGAATACGACTCCGTAGCGATCAATGGTAAACATTCAACTAACAAAATGACATGTCGGTGACAGTAAACAAAGATGGCGTCTATGTCAAATTGACGTTTACTTTCCTGCGTCCCTATTGGACAACCCTTTACAATAAAGCCTATAGTAAATATTAAAAATATATATACCGGGTGTTTCAAAATCGAATCTCGCTATTGGGATCTCGGAAACTGTAAGTGATACGATGTCGCTTAAATGGGGGCAAAGTTGCGAATTTAGGTAATTAACACAATGTCGATTAGAAAGTTTCAAAACTCAAAGTACTTCCGGCGAGAAACGGAAAATACCGAATTTTTCCAAAATATTTCCCAGACTTGATTTGGACTTTAATTTCAAAATAAATTGCACATTAACACTGTCATTGTTTCTTCTCCTCAAGATGGCGTAATTAGAATTTCAATATGACGTCCTCCAGTATCAACTTTATTTGTTATTATGGGCGCCACATTTGATTTTTGCACAGATGAATAGAGTTTTAGAAAAATATATAATAGGTTTATACATTGATATTGTCAAACCTTAGGCCCGTATCGTCAGTCGTCCCTACAATTGTAGCGCGCGTTTATGGCCTCCTTGATTGTCATACTTCTTTCCCTCCTTCAAAAATTTCTAGATTACACTTGTCCCGTGTCAGCGTCAGTGCTCTCCTATTGTGAAGATATGTTTTCGTTTTAAATTGTAGGAAATTTCAGGCTGATAAAACATGATATAACTCAAAAGCAAGCACAATTTGATGCAAATAGATGTTTGTGACATAACCTCAAAATAGAGCACTGACATGGAAAAATAGAAAACTAAAGGGTTGTCCAATAGGGTCGCAGGAAAGTAAACATCAATTTAACATAGACGCCATCTTTGTTTTCTGTCACCGACATGTCATTTTGTTAGTTGAATGTTTACCATTGATCGCTATAGAGTCGTATTCGATTGAAGACCGCATTAAAGTTATTCAAGAGCACTACAAAAATGGTGCAAAAATAAAAAACATGTTTCGCGCGCTTCGTGAACATCTCGGTCGCAACAACTGCCCAAACGAAACAACCATCGGTCGTCTGGTGCGTAAATTCGAGGCAACAGGTTCTGTGGCAAATCTGCCAGGCTCTGGCCGGCCAAGGAGCGTTCGCACACCGGAAAATATTGCTGTTGTGAAGGAGAGTGTGAGAGACGATCCGAAACAATCAACAACGCGTTGATCCCAAGAATTGGGCATTTCGAGAACCAGTTTGCTCAGCATTCTCCACAAGGATTTGAATGTACACGCCTACAAGATCCAATTGACGCAAGAGCTGCGTCGGGCCGACCATTTTTCGCGACGAACGTTCTCAGATTGGCTCCTTGAACACCGCCAAATTGATGCCAATTTTTCATAAAAAATCATGTTCAGCGACGAAGCGCATTTCACTTTGAATGGGACGGTAAACAAGCAGAACTGCCGCATCTGGCGAACGAAAATCCCCGTGAGTATCAAGAGCAGCCGAAAAGTGACTGTGTGGTGTGCATTGTGGTCAAAAGGCATCATCGGACCTTACTTTTTCGAAAATGCGGCCGGGGACGCCGTTACCGTCAATTCTGAGCGATATCACGTGATGATAGAGGACTATTTTTTGCCGCAACTTGAAGGAATGGATATGGACGATGTTTATTTCCAACAAGACGGTGCAACATGCCACACAACCAACGTCAATATCCATCGATTGCAGTCCTTCTTCGGTGATCGCGTGATTTCGCGCAGAGGAAATGTGCCATGGCCACCAAGATCGTGCGATTTGACTCCCTTGGACTTCTTTTTATGGGGATATTTGAAAAGCAAAGTCTACGTCAACAAACCAGCCACCCTCCAAGAACTCAAAAACAACATCATTGCCGAAATAAATGCCATAGATCCGACCATGTTGCAAAATGTCATTGAAAATTTCGACCATCGCGTGGAAATCCAGTCGTGGTGAATATTTGAGCGAATGAATATCAATCTTTCTTGTTTTAATATGCGTTTACTTTCCTGCGTCCGTTTATATTATTTATTATTATATGACAATCAAGGAGGCCATAAAGGCGCCCTACAATTGTAGGGACGACTGACGATACGGGCCTAAGTCAATGATCAGCTTCTCATTTGTTTCTCGTACCAGACTTGCCCAAAGTCACTTTTATTTGTTCCTGACTTTATTTGAGATGCGATTTCGAAATAAATTGCATGTTGTCATTGTCACTTATTGTCATCTACAAGATGGCGTAGTCAAATTTCAATTCGACATTTTTTATTTCGACTTCCATCACCAACTTTGTTTTTTTCATATGGACGCTATATTGGAATTTTGTACATCTAAATGGACTTTTCATTCCTAAATTCAGTGATGTATTTCCTTAGTTGGCCACGAATTTGTTGTTGGATGAAAATTATAAGGAAATAAAAAGGTATATAATATAGACATATCTATTAGTTCTCATTTTGAAGGTATATCTATCCCCTGCAATTTTTCTATAGACATAACTTTGAAGTTTGATAAAAAAGTGACCTAGAATTTTTTACTTCGAGATGAGGGGTCTTTGCATTAACTCTAAATAATATATAATTCCTTTGTAAAATTCTTTTGTACAATATCTTCGACAGCATGAATTTTGAGAGAGATAAATGTACGCCCAAAAATTTGAAAAAATCATATCACTCAGAAATGATGTATATAAAATTTTCGGTATAGCAAAAATTCCTGATATATCTCAAGTGTTGCTTCAAACGACTAAATTATTACTTAAAAATTTTGCATAAAGGTACCGAAAAAGTTATCCTAGTAGTTTTCTATATCCATATGAATTCTAAAATCCTCGGGGAAGTCTCTGTATCGATGAATAAGGCATTGAAATCCAAACAGAAAAGTAATATCAAGCATATAGACATCATTTATGGATAGTTCTAGGGTCCGCGCCCCGTGGGCCTATGGAGTAAAGGCTCTGCTATTTATCAGTAAAATACACGCTGAGATTTTTTACGTATCTATAGCTGTCAGTGTAAATGATAAAATCCAACTTAGATTTTAAAATTAATCCATATATTTAGGTAGTATAACATCAATAATGAAGTGGCTGTACATAATATAATAAAAAACTATAGTTTACAAATTATACTATAGTGAAACTATTAAAAAAATTTAATTCACTCTATTTCAAAAGGTCTACAGATGCGGATTTTCCCATCAAGTATGTCTTGGACAATAAATACTATATGAATTTCGAAAACCATAAGAAATATAAAAAAAAGGAAATATATGCACCGTTATTATAGAATTCAGAATAGCACAATTAAAAAAAAACGGTATTTTTTGAAAAAGAAACCTTTCATGTCTTCCTATCATTGCGATCTATTATTTGACCTTTTGTACGAGACACAAAACTAGACATTCGCAGCCGATTCCAACCCAGTATCCTGATAAAACACTTCCAGCCTTCTAACACATCCCCTCAAGTTGTTATTAAACGCTCTCATACGCAACAGCACCACATCCTCCATGTCGTCTTTATCCAGTCCCAGCGTGAAAAACAACTGCCTTCTAGAGGGCGCGAATCTGGACAGTACGTTGAACAGTTGCATGCCCAGCCAGCCGTGATAGGGCTCCAGGGTTTCGACGTACGCACGGCGAAGGAAAGGTGCCAGGTCACTAGCGCACCTCTCTGACATTGTATCTTCTATGACCAGTTGAAAGAACATGGATAGGAAGTTCAGACCCCTAGAAAAGATATACAGCGCGTCAGATGAGTAGTATGAGAGTGGTCCCATTCGCATTGCGAAGCCCCTGGTCGTTTGTAACGAGATGTCCAGCGTGTGAGGCAGGGCTGTAAGCTACAACGGGGCCGACGCCTCAAGCCTCAATTGCGCGGCACGAATCGAGAATAAGCCGGTTCCGGTGATTCCCCGAAACCCAAACTGTGGGAATAACTAGCGTACTGATTTATTAGATTGTGTATCGTCTGATTTCATGTAAATCAGGCGTTTTTATTGGCGTTAATCTTCTTGCAATGCATTAGACGATGAAGACTACTCCCTTTCAAAGGCATAGGACGTGAATATCCAAGTAACTGATTTTGATCTACCGAAAATAGGTGAGCCCATAAAGCAAATTATTTTAAGAGAATATCCAAAACAAAATAACGGGCGTGTGTTTCGAGCATGTTGGTTATTAAATTATTTAAATGGCTTGAGTATTCTGTACAAAAAGATGCAGCTTTTTGTTATGCTTGTCGGCAATTTCAGCCGTTTAGTAATAAAGATATTATATATACTCATGTGGGATTCACCAATTGGAAAAACGAAATGGATTCCCGCGACGTGAAAAAACGGAAATTCATTTGAAAGCAATGTTTATGTGGAAGGAGCGATCCTCTCGGGACTCCAGTGGCACTGCAGTCTCAACACTGATCAATAGCGAGTTAATACTATGTAAAATCAATAGCTGAGGTAATCCAGTTCTTAGCAGTCAACGAACTTGCGCTGCGAGGAAGCTATGTTATGGAAGAAGAAAAAGAACGAGGTTTATTCATAAGACTTTTTAATTATACTCTTAAAAAGGACAAAGTTCTTGAAGAGGCTATAAAACACATTCCTAAAAATGTCAAGTATACTTCTCCTGAGATACAAAATGAAATTATTGGCATATTAAGAGAATTAGTACGTCAAAGCGTAGTGGACGATATTAAAAAATCTGATGTTCCATGGTTCACATTGTTAGAAGATGGAACCAGAGACAAAAATAACACGGAGAATGTGTCCATATAGGTATTCGTTACGTAAAAGATGGGATCGTTCATGAATCCTTACTAGGTATTTACGTGAGTGACAAAATGGATGCCATGACGTGTACAGATATGACGCTTCAAATTTTGGCCAAATATGAAATTGAGCGTTCACGTTTATTGAGTCAGTGCTATGACGGAGCAAGCGTCATGAGTGGTAAAAAAGGTGGAGTTTCTGCCCTCATGCAAAAAGAGATTCAAAGAAGTATCCCTTACATTTATTGCTATAACCACAGGCTCCATTTAGTTGTAGTCAAAGTTGTTTCTCGAACAAAGATGGTCCGGTCATTTGGCCATTATTAATGTAATATTAGCTAACTATGCAGAAATTATTAGAACATTAGACGAAATAATCCAAAGCAAATTGTTCTCTGAAAAAGACATTGCCAAGGGTATTGGAATAAAGTCGGTCATGTTAAAGATAGATTTCAGATTCACTTTAATATTAATGAATGAAATTCTGGGATTATTAGAACCGGCAGATGCCACATTGCAAGGACGATCGACAAGTCTCAAAGATGCTATCAAAATAATAACTTGTGTCAAAAATGAAATTCAATTGCTGCGATCATCGGAAAAATTTTTAAACTTTTTAAATGAATCACAAAATCTGGTACCTTATGCTGACGTAAAAAGTAACGCTGAGAAACGAAAAAGGCAGAGTACTCATAGCCTATATGCTTTTTTGTGATGGAAACCCTACCTAATACCCAGGAAGAGACCGTAGACTGTAGTTTGTAATATAAAAGTTTATATTTTGAGGCCATAGATCACCCAAAATTATATAACTATAACTATTATTATTGTTATAGGTATCGAGCTACTATCTATTGAAGAGTTGTCGGTTGTTAAAGATTTCGTCGCCATGGAACAAAAAGAAAGTATATTCTCTAAACTTTACAAACATAAGGAAGCTTTTAGGGCAACGTATCAGCTCTTTGCAACAGTTGCTACTTTCGGTTGCAGCACGGCACTTTGTGAATCTTCTTTTTCTTCGTTGACAGCAATCAATCGACCTCAAAGGTATTCAATGCAGCATCAACGAATGGCTGACCTTTCATATTTAGCATTTGAACGAAGAAGAGCCGCTGTACTAGACCTAGATTTGTTTCTTCGAAAATTTCATAGTTGTGCTAATAGGAAGCTCCCCCTATTTTAAACATTCAAATCAGGGTATATTTAAAAGCTTGTGTTTAGCTGTTATATTTTTTCGGGTTCACTGTATTGGTAGTTTATTTGATGAATTTAATAATAATAATAATAAAAACTGATAAAATAAATAGTGGTTTTTTATTACACTATTAGATATTGTTGACATTAGTAATGCGCATTTTATGAGAAATACTGGTGGTCATATAACGTGCAACGAAGTTACGTTTTACGAGTATACAGGATAAATATACGCTGTTTTTTCCAGAAATACAAATACTTGATAGGTACTTGATAATAATTCGAGTTCCAAATAAAATGTCGCCCTGACAATAATTAGTAATGCCCTGGGTACCAACGCAGGTCTGGCTACGGCCCTGGTGTGAGGCTTGTGCTTTTATAGTCTGTTACCGTCACGGAAGAGAAAACACATCGTACGCCACTGTTACCGCGGCGCATAAAGCAGTATCGCAGTGTTGCCGAAGCTACCGATGTGTCGGTATGTCTACCAAAATGAGCCCTTAATATTTACCGAAAATGTCCTCATTTTACACGATTTGTTTACATAGTACAAGTATTTCCAGATTGTTTATCGAAAAAGAGCTACAACCAAAAATAAACTAAGAAAATGGATTTTATGTAGTCTATGTAGTTTGATGCCCCATACCAGTCATAGGTAAGCGTACACTTGGGTGGATAATGTTTTTATGATCATCTAGCACCGTCCAAGTTTTTATCTTTCAGATCCACATTCCCGCTATGTATAGTTCTATGAAGATGTGAATCTTATTTTGGATAGGCTTTTGTAGCCACTCTCGATCAGAAAAGCTCGACGCACTGACACCCTTCAATCGTTCGTCATGCATCTCACCGCGCATGGCAGCATCTCATCATGGTGGATAACGTTGCGCAAGGATTCACACCAAAGGTATTCGTCAGGGCAGGTACACTTTCACAAAGAGTTATCTCTCACCGATCATCGCCCTCCCCCACCCCCCTGGGGAAAATGTCTGCACGGGTAAAGGCCCTATGTGCCTATAGGGTAAAGATGGAGTAGGTGAATACTAAACTGCCGCGAAACCCCTAGTAATATAGGGAATTGGCAAAAAAACTAAAGGTAACTCCTAAAACAAAGTTTTAGCAATTGGCATTTACATGTTTGACGCTTGATAAATCAGCAGAGTATTATACGCATCTTGAAAAGTGATATTATGTCGTCTTTTTGTCACTATGTAGAGTTTTTAATGACATTATGTTGATTTTTTTCCAATATCGGTTTGAACTGTAAAGTTTTTCGGAGCGAAATATCTATTTCTGGAACCTCTGTAGTTACACGCGATACAAATAAATGTAACTTGTAACAGTTTTTTGTACTCGCACATATGCAAGGATTTTTGTAAAATTACGTGTTTCAACTGTCTGGAGTAGACATGCAAACAAAAAGTCCAGGTCATGGGAATGCTGCTGTTTCTATATCATTCGTCATATCACAAACTAATAATATTAATACAGCATAACATATTATTATATTGATCAGATTTGTAGGTGGAATACGAATACGTTAATCAGTGGTAATAACATTGATTAAAGTATTTTATTTAATGTTAAAAGGTATTAGGTATATTTACCGTCTGAGCCATAATAAAGCATCCACAGCAACCATCCCTCCTTCAGAATGTTCATTTAATATCATATCTTCCAAATAAAGATGAGCACTTTCATCTTCTTCATATTTACCAGTTAGTTTGGAAATATTGCCGCCCATATCGTAGGTGACCGGTGAAAAAATTTTTCCAAAACGGTTGATCAGCGACACTGTTGCAAATGAAGCTTGCAGAAACTCGAAAGTCTTTATTTTTTCGCTTGGGTTCGGAAAGTGGACTTGGAGGACGCAAAACGCTGTCTTTTTGTCTTCTGCAGGACTTTGCGATCGTTGCTCAGTTATCTCTGATTGCTCTTCAGATTGCTGCGACATTTTTTCGAGTGAAACTTATTCAACAACACAATATGTGGTGTGATACAAACATACGCACACGCTAAAAGTGTAATCAAAAACCTTGTCTATATCCAGTATTCTATTAACGTATACAAATTATTGCTTACCTTTCAATAATTGTAGATTTATCGTTTCAGATAAGCTCAAATTATTCGTTAATGGTATATGTTTTCAAGGGAACTGTTGCCGTCAAAATGAATATGCGATCTCTTTATTCGACAACTATTGGAATAGTACCTGTTAGGAATTCGATCTTACTTGCACTTAGAACATTGAAATGTATGGACTGAAATGACCTTATTCATTATATAACTTAAATACATGCATTTAAATTTAAAAATTCAAATATTGCCTCTAATTTAAAATGTCACTGATAAATGTCAAAAATGATAGCAGAAGGATAAACTTCACCTAGAAAAAGAGGCGTGGTTTTGCTGGGAGTGTGATAGAAAATCCTTTTAGTCGATTTTGACATCTACGTGACAAGCAATTTAGAAAGGTTAGGAGGAGAATTTGAATTGTGTCATTCAAGTAAAAACACGTGTTTGAAATGTTTACCACGTTATTACACATGAAATAAGGAATAATTTTCACAAATAAAAATGGGAAGAAAAGCGAAATTTAACGAAGGTGTAGTGGTAAAGAAGGGTCCTGGAAAGAAGACAAAAAAACAGAAGGATCCCTCATTTCCGAAAGCACTAAAAGGTAAATATCGTTTGTGGTGGTACAGTTTCCCAAATGGTGCTTAGCTCATATTTATGTGTTTCGTTTTGCAGATGATGAAACCTCACCAAACAAAAAATTGAGCAGGCGGCAAAGATTGAGAGCCAAAAAAAGAGAACAGAAGTTGAAAGAACGTGTAGAGAAGCAAAAACAGATCAATGTGAAGAAGTCACAGCAACGAAATGCAAATCCATCCATCAATAATAAAAAACATTTTAGTGAAGAGTCCGAATCTGAGTCAGAATATGAAGAACAAACTGAGGAGGAGGAGGTGGATGATATCCTAAAACCTAGCACTAAAGGCTTTTCAGATGACAATAAATTGTGGCTTACACCAAAGGTGAATGGTAAGAAAACTGAATATGGAGATAGTAAAGAAGACAGTGAAGAGGGAAGTGACAGTGATGATGTGGAACAGAGTGAAGATGGAGATTCTGGGGAAGAGGAGAGTATGGAAGTAGGACAACTCGATGATTTATCAGATAGTGATTCAGATGAAAAAGATGAATTTTCCTCAGAAGATAATGATGAAGATCAAGAAGGAGGTGACAGTGAGGATGAAGAAGAGTTGTTACCAATTGAAAAGAAAAGTATTAGATTGAGGAAGAAACAAGCTTTAGAGCAAAAATTGGCTGATGAGGAAATGAAGCTAAATATTGCTGATCAAGAGAAATTTGCCTTTCCTTCAAGTAAAGAGGAGCTGGAAGTACAAAGCTTGCAGGAAGTACAGCAAAGGATACGAGAGATAATGGCTGTTCTATCAGATTTTAGGTAAAAACAATGTGTATGCCTCATTTCAACTGTATAATGTTTCTTATATTTTTCAGTAAATTGAGAGATGGAAACCACTCACGACAAGACTACCTAGCAATTCTAAAGAAGGACCTTTGCACCTACTATAGCTATAATGACTTTCTCATGGAGAAATTACTGGAAGTATTCCCACTTTCAGACTTATTAGAGTTTCTCGAGGCTAGTGAAGTGCAAAGACCATTGACTATCAGAACAAACAGTCTGAAAACCAGAAGGCGAGATCTAGCACAGGCTCTGATCAACAGGGGCGTTAATTTGGATCCTATTGGAAAATGGAGCAAAGTGGGCTTGGTGGTATATTCATCTCAAGTGCCTATGGGTGCAACCCCTGAATATCTTGCAGGTAAAAATCAATTTGCACCTTTTCCCAGATTGTAGATCAGTTAATCTTTTTCTCAAGTATCCATTATGGTAGAACAACAGTTGATTATCTAGTGATATTTCAAAATTCTTATATTGACAAATAACACATAATATATATACATCCACTTTTTACTTGCTAACAACCCTTTTATTTAAAAAAGACATTTGCAAAAAAGAATGTATAAGCAAGTTTTGGGGAATTTATATTCGTCCATTCATTATTGTCAATGTTACAGACTAATACATAGATGTCACTTGCTGATCAGCTGTTCATCTCCTCAAAACATGATGAATACTTGTGAAATCGGATTTAGTTTGTCCTTTCTGCATCGATGATTAATCGTCACCTTGACCTTGAAATTTCTTTCTTCTATTTTCAAGGTCAAATACCTGATTCCACTGCATTGATCTACCAATAAACAATAACAAACAAAATCAAGGTCTCCTCTAAAAGTTTTTTTTAAGGTTATGTTCAAAATTAGAATGACAGCTGATTATCTAGTAATATCTCAAAATTCCCCATATCAGCACAGGACACATAATTCTGACGGATCCGTCAACGCCAGCTAGTCAGAGCCGTATTTTGTTTTTTTTTTGTATGCCACATATTCATTTTGTACTTGCCTTTTATTTAGAAACGTTTATTGCATACAAAAAACAAAACGCCACAAACAAATTTTACTGGATTTATACTCTTCACAATTGCCAACATTGCAGACTAATACAAAAATGTCACTTGCTGATCAGCTGTTCACCTGGGTAGATGTTAAATACGTGATGGATACTCGTGAAATAGGGTATACATCAAACTTCTTCCAGATTAGGGCCATATACCCTATTTCACGAGTATCCATCACGTATTTAACATCTACCCAGGTGAACAGCAGATCAGCAAGTGACATTTTTGTGTTAGGCTACAGCGTTGGCAATAATGGATCAAGTATAAATCTAGTAAAACTTGTTTGTGGCGTTTTGTTTTTTGTATGCAAATGAACTTTTCTAAATAAAAGAGCTGTTAGCAAGTACAAAATGAATCTGTAACGTACAAAAAACCAAAACAAAATTCGGCTCTGTCTACCTGGCGTTGACGGATCTGTCAGAATTATGTGTCCTCTGCCGATATGGGGAATTTTGAGATATTACTAAACAATTAGTTGTCATTATGTGTCATTCTGGACTCTAACCAACATGTAAGGTTGATAGAATATTGTGCTTTCCTCATTTTCAAGGTCAAATATTTTAATTTAACATGTTGACATTTTCTTACCTTAGGATGTAAGGATATTTGAACCATGATATATTTGAAATCATTGACTGACAATAAATCTTATTTCAGGACACTACATCATCCAGGGTGCATCAAGTCTTCTGCCTGTCATGGCGCTAGCACCTCAAGAGAACGAAAGGGTATTGGACATGGCTGCAGCCCCTGGAGGCAAAGCCTCGCATATCGCTGCGATCATGAAAAATACAGGGGTGCTATTTGCAAACGATGTGAATGCAGATCGTGTAAAAGCTGTCGTGGGGAATTTTCACAGGCTGGGCGTTGTCAATTCAGTAATCACTTGTATGGATGGCAGGAAGTACCCAGAGCTCATCAAAGGATTTGATAGGGTGCTGCTAGATGCTCCATGTACTGGTAAGAATCAAATATATTGTGAAGTTGTTACATTGAACGTGTTATGGACCCTTTAAACACGGGATATAACTATGGCAACTATAGTCCAGCCATCATGAACATATTGCAGAATATGTCATATAGCGGATATCTTGGCTATATCACGGCTATATCTTGGCAATATTGTCTACAATCTGTAGACACATACACTTTTTAGTATTTCTTATCAGAAGGACTACAAAATTAGGCTAGGATCACTGATAAAATTGTACGCATCTCAGCATCTTACATAGTTACATTACATTAGGTAGAATTCCGATAGTTCTGTAATCTGAAATAATAATAGTCGACTTTATTACTATAAACTACAAAAGGCGAGATTTAGGGCCGTATCGTCAGTCGCCTCTACAATTATTGTAGGATGCCTTTATGACTTCATTGATTTTCATTGTTTTTTTTTTTTATTTCTTCTGATTCGTGTAAGCGCTCTATTTTGAGTTTATATTTCCTTTTTGAATTCATTTTTATCATCTGTTTTATGAGGCTGAAATTTATTAAGCTTCAAAAAGAAAACATGACCTCACAATAGGCGGGCGCTGACGCTGACACGAAACGGTAGAAATCTATAAATACGCAGCCTTTCTGAAGGAAAGAAAAGTTTATGAAAATAAAGAGTCCCATAAAGGCGTCCGACTATTGTATGAACGACTGACGATACGGCACTTAGCTCAAACAAGCACTATAAGTGTGATGGACATGCACAGACACTACTTTGTGCAGAACAATTTGGCCCTTTAAATTCATTGGCTTTTGGTTATGGTTGCAAAAGATTTGGTATAATGGAACAGTTGTGAATAAGAACTAAATGCGATGATCATGCTGTCAAGGTATTTGTTATCCTGACGCCAGGAATTTTCCATTCGTATGTCCGCGCTTTCAGCATCCATATAAAATTACTAATACCATACAGCAGCTACTTAACATATTTCCAAAATTGTCTCTATTTACATTGACGAATAAATTATATAAATTAACTTTGGGTCTATTATTTTTAGTCATATTAAGTCGCGAGTATGGATTCCTAATGGCTCCTCTCCACAATCGGCGATTACAAACGATTACGCACGAGCACGATCGTGTAGAGGGCCATACTCGGCTGTACTCGCCGATCATCGTCTGTCATCGCCTTCGACCCGTGAATTGTCGGTTTGTCGGACACGCATTAAAGAGAATCGCTGGGTGGTTGCGTTGCCTACACGATCGCCGATCACTCATTCGCCGTCGTAAATAAATAGTTGCAGCAGCAACACACTCCACCTCTATATTGATGCTTGCCGTTTGACAAACTACTACGAGCGTTCGTGTGGATGCTTGCACGATGATCGTGCCTATTATGAACGATCATCGCCGACAGTGAAGTGCAGGCATTAGGTTAGGTGTAGTGCATGGATGTGTATTTCTGCATAGGTCTAGAGTTCTACGCACATAAAGTAGCACTTGAAAAATATAAATTGATGGACGATCTCTAAGTTGCTGAAATGATTTCTGTACGTTGATCCATAACTGGAATTGGTATTTATTCAAAGCTGAAAATGTTGCTAGACGACACTGAGTTCCCAGAGCATTGTGCCATATATAATGAGAATATGAAGCAAGTTGAAATATACTACCTGCAAAGTATTGCCATCAAGACATGTGCTAAACTGCCTCAGAATAAATAATCGTAATTGCGTAGGCAGTCTAGAATATAGGTAATCAATGTGAGCCCAGTGTATCGAGTGCTATTCCTAGAAGTTTGAGTGGTTGAATAATGATGAAAACTTTTAAATAATCGATCGTGTGAAACTAAGTAACAACCTTTATTTTAGAAGTCCTAATTCACAACAACAACAAGCAACAATTGGTGGCGCACAGCAGCTCACAATAAAAGTAAAAATAAATTCAACCAAATCTAATTATACGAGTATTAAGTATAATCATTATTTTTTCACATGAATGAAATTTACTTTCTTTAAATGACCCACAGTCTCTGCATCTTTTAGTTGATTTTATGTACATGATCGTTTCCATTGTGCACACTTTATTGATTTCAATTAAATGAAAATAGGAGATGGTTCTGGTGTAATAAGTTTGAATTTCATTGTTTCTTCGCAATTAGAAATTCCTTTTACCATTTCGAATATAAATGCCAAGGTCATTAAGTAAATATGTAGGCTAACAGACAACCGCTGTAGAGTTTTAACATGTCTTCAATTCTTGTGTACCCGTTGCATTGCAAAATTACCTGCATTCCCCTATTTTGCAGTTTTTGTGATGCACTTATTTTATTCTTGCTGAAAAAATACAATGAAGATGAACGCTACTGAAAACAAGGCTTTATTACTTCATTATCATTAATTACTGGGTGTAACTCGAGGAACATTATGCCGGTAATTGCAAAATTGGAAGGTAATCCTACGTTCACTTCTTGAAATGTTTAGACAGAGAGCTGCGCCTGACGATTTGCGAAAAAAAATTGCCCTACTGACGCGTTCGTCCTATATTACAAAATGACATTTCTAGGTACTGGTGTGGTAGCCAAAGATCAAAGCGTGAAAACGAGCAAAGACGAAGTTGATATCCAGCGATGTTACAATTTACAAAGGGAACTCTTATTAGCCGCCATAGACAGTGTCAACGCAAACTCCCCGACAGGAGGTTACATCGTTTACTCGACCTGTTCTGTATTGCCCGAAGAAAACGAATGGGTAGTTGATTATGCTTTGAAGAAGCGGAACGTCAAGCTGGTCAGCACAGGATTGGACTTCGGAACCGAGGGATTTGTTAACTACCGGCATCACAGGTATTTTTGGTTTAACCGACCATAAGTAGGCTTTTTTTGAGCACATAATTGCATGATTTTGTTACCGTGGCATAACATTTCCCATGATGATGATACTTTCCTGACACTGTTTTCTATCTTAAACCGATATCGTACTGTCGAGAGTGTGGGCACAGGCCCGAACTTTCAATCACTGGTTAATTTCCAAGTTTGGTAACTATTACTTGTGTCTTAGTTATTGTTCGTAAATTTGTTTTTAGTCCTCATTAACTAACCCACAACTGTTGATCTGACAACATTCCTCCGTCTGAATTATCGTGTTCTGTGTGTATTGTAACGCTCTACTTTTGTGTCTCGAGTCAATCGGGATAATTCATGTCACTTTCAAGCAAAAAAGGTTAGGCATAACTACAACTTTCTAGTTAACCCATAATCCTTCTAGTTAAAATTAACCACCGTTTTATGAGTTAACCACTGGTTAACCTGAAATTGAAGAACCGCGATTTAGCATTAGTAAAGATAATAATAGTCACATATAATATGCAACTGTCAACCTTTTTGTACTGTAGTCTAATCATAATTAGACCAAAATATCTATGAAAATATAAATAATTGTAAAGTCTGGTTTTATCGCTGCAAGTTATTCAAGGGGGTATTCAAAACATGTACGCATAAAATGGGTACACCAATTTTAGTGGGAAAACTTTTTTCGACAACAAATAATGAGAAAACGTTTTTTTTTTGGGATTCAATCAAGACCTACAAAATGAGACCACACGTAAAAAGATCCGACTGGTAACATAAAAGTTATGGCCGAAAACCGAGACAAACTGCAGGTTTTGGCACTTGGTAATGCGACGACAGTTTCTTGCAGATATTTGAATTTTTCAAATTCGTAGGATTCGTACCTCGAAATAACCATAACAAAATTGGAGTAGATTGATCCATTAGTTTTTGAGAATTTCTAATTGTGTATCTCAAAACAGCTGTTTTCCGGCCATTACTACTAGCTTATTGAGCAATATAAAGGGTTAGTTCAAAGGGCATTTTATTGCAAAATACACTAGTTTGTCTTGCCGATGTGAATCGCAAACCATTCCGGAAGATAAATGTTATTTTTATGCAAAAAGATGGGTTACGTTTCTTCTTCTAAACGAATTCAAACATTTCGTATTTTTGAGTAATTCGCAACAAAAGATGATAGCCACATCTGCTTTGTTTTAAAATGTGTATAGTAACGTATGTTTTTCGAATATCGTAGCACATTTGTTCAATTGCTCACAAATACGAAATGTTTGAATTTATTTAGAAGAAAAAACGTAACCTTTGTTTTTCGCATAAAAATAACATTTATCTTCCGGAATGGTTTGTGATTCATATCGGCAAGGTAAACACGTGTATTTTGATATTTGAACTAACCCGAATATTGCTCAATAAATTAGTAGTGATGGCCGGAAAACAGGTTTTTTGGGATAAACGATTGAAGACCTCCGTGCAAAAACCAGGTAAGTCACATTATAGAAGGTTTTGAGAAACAAAAAAAAATGAATATTTTGTTTTGGAAATATGGAAAAGAAAACCATGTTATTTTAGGGTATAGAGAAGGTAATAAAAAACCTGCTTAATAATAAAAACATAAGCTCAACCTTTTAATTTTTTTTGTTAAAAATTTGGACTGGTTTTTGCCCGAAACATTATATTGAAATAATAGAAAAAATTAGTTCAAACAATTTTAATAGTCAAAGAGAACAAACTAAAACAACTTAAGAAATGGGTAACAGAAATAAATCTCCAATTATATAAAAGATTGAATGCATAGATCGGCGGCCGATACGTATTTTGCTGTTAAAAGTTTAACATTAGCAGCCTTTTTTTTCGTTAAGCGGCAAAGCATAGAGATGTATCATATGTGAACTTGGAAAGCACCATACCACATTTTCTTTTTCAATATAAAGCCATGTAAAAACTGGGATGAATGTTGCATATATTTGAATGAATACTTTTTGATACTGGGAAAGGGGGTAGGTTGAAATGCTAAGCTTACCTTTTTCTTTGATAACAAAAGCAGTTTCATAAAAAGTTTTAAAATGAGCAATATTCTGATTGGCATCTACAACTTAAAACTTTATTGGACTTACCTGATTTCAGCACCAAACCATCCGCAATAATCTAAATACTTAGAATATTCGAAAATGCAATCTTTGGTAAAAATTGGACCTACCTAGTTTTTGCACGGAGATCTTCAATTCGAAATTCTAAAAATACTACTTGAGCAATCCAATTTTGTTGTTATTTAGAAGTATGAATCCTACGCATTTGAAGAATTTCAAGTAGTTGCGTGAAATTATCGTCGCATTACCAACAAGATCCATTTTGCTTCGTTTTTCGGCCATAATATGTTTGTTATTAGTTGGATCTTTTTACGTATGATCTCATTTTGTAGGTCGTCTCTAAGATACCTAAAAATCTCATATGATAAGTTTTTTCGTACATGTCAACACTTTAGATTGAATAAAAAAACACGTTTTCTCATTCCTTGTTGTCAAATAAAAAGTTTTTCCACAAAAATCGGTGTACCCATTTTATGCGTTCATGTTTTAAATACCCCCTTGAACAACTTGCACCAATAAAACCAGACTTTACAATTATTTCGGGGAAAATTCCTAATATGATTAGACTACTGTTTGAGTCTGAGAGATTCTAAGACCATCTGTATAGAGATTATTTTTTACAGATTCCATCCAACAATGAAGATCACAAGAAGATTCTATCCACATACCCACAACATGGATGGGTTTTTTGTAGCCAAATTGAAGAAATTTTCGAATCTTATCCCTTCATCTGACAAATCCAAAGATGGAGAGGAAAATGAAGATGCAGATGAAGAATTTACTATTGAAAATGTTGAATCTGAAGAGGACGATTCAGAGAAGACTAGTAAACAAAACAAAAATAAGAAACGTAAAAGAACCAGCAGTGAAGGCGACAAAGGTGTTAGTAATAGACCGGTATTGAATGCCGTGGATAAAACAAAAAAGCATAAATCAACTTTGAAAGGTGATAAACAGAAAAAAGCGGGTACGAAGACTCATTTGAAACAGAAAAAAGGTACTAAAAATGGTAATATAGGACGGAAAAAGTAAGCCGACAATATAAATATGTTTTATATACCTGCTTTTTTATTTATCTTGTTGGCCCATGTTTGAAAAAAAATTATTTTGAATGGGGAGTAATCCGAAAATCTGGAAGCAGATGGCGCTATTCAGCTCAAGGTCATAAACTTACAAATACAAATGTCAATTGCTGATCAGTTGTCCACATCAGTCACGTCAAAACGTGATGAAAACGTGAAACATAGTTACATTTCTGTCAAATTTGCCTTTTTCCCACTTTTGATAGGTTGATCTCCAGTCACACACGCGCCGCCTAGCGGAGCAAAATTGGACATCGCTGCTATTTTTACATGGGAATATCGATTAGATATAGTGTGAAATTGTATGAAATGTAGCACTTTGACATGTGAGTCCCGAGTTATTTGACATCTCTGCCACATCGCGCGCTGCGATCGATTTGACGGTTGAATACCTGCTGTTCCCACGTTTCATTGCAGATAAAAAGCGTTGGTCATAAGAGTCCAGTAACTATCCTGACAATTTCAAAACATCACCAGGCACCAAGTATATTGACTACTATACTAGCCTAAACCCGCGACGCTGCTCACGTAGAAGAAGTATGTGACGTTCGTTTTGCATTAGTGTGATAGATTGGTTTCAGATACAGAAATGCAATAGTTGTTCTGGCAGTGAACATTTTTTATCCAACATTTTAATGGAACAATAAATTAATTTCAATGTTTCGCTTCTTTATATCCTCGACGAAATGGAGATTAAATGAAAATTTATCTGATCTTAAAATTGTAGTTTAAACAAAAAATGAGCATAATTTTCTTTCGACCTAAAAACATCCTGTTAATGTCAGTAGTATACTTGAACTCATTATAGTCCACAAGTTGCATCTCAGGAATTAAAAAAATATATTTCCCGTTAAAAATTCAATCGTATACAAAGTCATACATACCCTTTTTTGCTCTCAATTTCTGGTGGTGGTTAATGTAACAAAACTGTCTTGACCTTCAAATGAGTTTGAAGGTCAGAGTCAACTTTATTACATAACATTTTTCTTTATGAAACGTACCTGTTTTTTGTCCTTCCCCTACTTTCTTTATACCCTCAAATACCCATGGATATCATGGTCAAATTAATGAGCAACGTAAATTTTCCCTCTCTTTACATTTCCACCGTAAAAAATATGGGCACCATTTTAAAAAACTGGCTTTACTTTCAAATGACCTTGAATATCATCGTCAAGGTCACGTTCAAGATACCATTGGACGAATCTTCTCAAACCTTGTTCTACAAGTCTTCGAGATACTCTGATATATCCATACTTTTTGAACACCCTGTATATAGTAGTTCGCAAATCGTTAATCATTGGAGATTAAATCGCTGCCCATGTTCAAAATCTCTATGGAAGGCTGTGGGTCGAAAAGAGGGAACTTGGGAAAGTAAAAAGCAAAAGCTTCGCTCCAATCATTTATTGACATCGGAAATGTTTACAAGAGTTGGGAGGAAATTCAAAAATGGAACTGAATGATCAGTCTAAAAACTAACGCTTTCTAAACCATAAACTCTCCCGTGCACACAGGAGCAACATCATAAAAAATATATACAACTTTTTACAATCTAATTTGGCAGAAGGATTACATTTATTTTACAATTACAAAATACAGGATATTCTGAAAAAAAAAATAATCACCTGATGAATAAAATCTGCAACTACATATTAAAAACAAAAAACTCTAAATACAAAAAAAACTGAGCAACATGAAAGCGTAATTTTCATATCTTGCGGAGTATCCTGTATTCTAATAGAAAACGCTAAAACGAAATTGATTATCATATTATGAAAGAATCTTACACTGACACTTTAATCACAATACCAAGTCGATTTATATAATATATACAGGTACTAGATAACTTTCATATTATATACAACAACCTAAATGATGCAAATCTTACATATGTAGAAACCTTAAAATGAGGTACTTGATTACATATAGCAGAAAATATTTTGAGTCAAGTTATTTTCAAAATCAAAACTGTTATGGGGAGTCCCGTACGTAGATAAATTATAATTACCAGAGAGACTATTGGAAAAAAGAATGAAATTGAGTTACAGTTTGTCATGCTAAAATTCAAACTTCATATTTAAGCGATACCATCACCAAATACCAAATATATCACAGCAGAACGTCAGTTTGTTAGATAAAAATATAACCGTAAAATTATTTCAACATAATCAAGTACCCGATCCATACGTTGGGACAAATTTCACTGGGATATACGACAACCAGTACACTTATCAAATAACCATTTGAAATGATAGAAAATGATTATAAACAAGAATATGAACATTGCGCGCAAAATTTTCGGAAATCTGGCATTTTCGATTAAATTCAAATATTTTTTTGTTTCATCAGCGTCCCAAAGTAATTCTTTACCGCAAAAAAAATATAAAATAAAAGTCTGGAGAAACCCAGACTTAAACATGTAGTATACATATCAAATGGAAATGTGTTTTAGGTAAGAGATGACGAATTGTTTACTGGGATATGTTAAACAAACATCATTATTATTTCTTAAAAATCACACATTTATATCCTTTAAGTGATGATGAGAAAAGAACATCTATTTTGGTCAGAAAGAGGGAGGGGAAGAGAAAATTTCCTTTGAAAAATTGTTCAATGTACACTATGCTGCATCAACTGCCGCTGTTGTTTCTTTTTTCTGCAATCCGGACAGAACCATTGTCCTTTTGGTGGTACCATTATTCCAACGCATTCAAAATGGAACCATTCGATTGCACAGTCACTTGCGTCACAACCGATCATTTCGGAAACTTCGTCGTACGGGCACCTAATTGAGAATAAACAAAATTATGTTGAAAATGCTACAACTTTGTATCTCTAATCTGACTGCATGTGAATACCCTATTATGCAGATTCATCCAACAGTTATACAGGGTGTCCCACAAGTCGACGTGGGATAGGCGAAGTCATATAGTTATCAAAAAAATATAAAAAAATCTGTCGTGTACTTTTCAAATTATAGGCTTTAAAAAAAATTGGAAAAATTACTATGAATTTTTTTTTCTAAGGTGGACTGACAGAAAGTGTCATTCTGTCACTTTTATTAATTCCTGAGTGTATTTATTAAATTCACAATAAATGTTCAAACTGCCTTCATTCTTCGTTCAGCAGCAATGCAAGCTTGACTTCTTAAAAATGATCAGACGGGCGAATCTTCCATTATTAATAAATTCAGCTGCTTCCGTTATTGTACCTTGGCTCAGCTAAATTTTCGATTGGCTTTGGCCAAACGTTTCCTTTCATCCCTCCCCAGTAAAAAAATCGATTATATTTAGGTCAGGTGAACGGGCTGTCCACGAAATTGTACCTATCCATTTGCTCAGCTATTCCGCATCAAGATACTCTCTAACTGAATGGCCATAGTCCACCAGGCAGCAGTTATTGCTGGTACCACATGCCTCTGTAATTGCTCAAAGGCACGTCTTTGAATAAATTTGGCAAGCGATTTTGTAAAAAGTCTAAATAAATTTCGCCATTCAAACATTTAGAAAAAATTCTTGCATATTTTTGTTATTCTATCTTCAATGACTTAATCCATAAATCTGGGTCGGTCTTTGGACAAAATGAGTTTTTCTCCAGCATTTTGGAGAATAGCAGGGATTCCAAAGAATGAACATGTTACAGTTCATGCACTTTCTGAATATTGCAAAATAATAAAATAAATAAATGTTTTAACCGATAGCTCTGGGGTAACTGGTTGTCGAGATAGAGCGAGCGTCAACTTAGGTGTCTCCCAGGGATTGGTCTTGGCTCCGACGCTGCTCCTCGTACATATTAACAACCCCCTTTCCTGTACGATCAGCACTCTACATACAGAAATTCAGAGCGACACGCCCATCTCTGTCGGTGAGCTGGAAAAAAAGAAGACTAGCGGCGTCTGACTGGAGACCTGGAGGTTATCACTGCTTGGGGACGCAATAATCTTGTACAGTTTAATGTTTAAAAAACACAGTACTGTACCTTGACGAACAAAAAGCGTCCAGGGGTCATCAGCTTTAGATAGATGGCCGAGTACTGCCAAAGAACCGTTTATTTCGGGTGGTCGGCGACCAGATCACCGACGACTTGATCTAACACGAACGCATCTATTCAATAGCTGCAGCTGCTAGGAAAAAGCTAGGCTATTTATTTAGGGCTAAGAAGTACTTCTCACTCAGGCCGAGATAAGACCTAGCCTCGAGTATTGTTCATACGTTTGGGGTGCTGCCGCCTCGACTACATTATCTATGCTCGATGCTGTCCAGAGGAGGGCTGTTTGACTGATCGATGACTGTTCTCTAACAGACAGTCTCGGAACCCTTTCGCACCGGCGGACCGTCGGCGATCTAGCTCTCTTCTACCGCTACACCAACGAGCTTTGCTCCTCAAAGCTCTCCTCCGTGAGGTCGCCGCGCGATGTACCTGGAAGTCAGACCCGCCTGACTTCGGCCTCCCATCCTAACGGTGTCGGACTTCGTACATCCAGAACTGGCCGTTACGACCGCTCATTAGTTTCGAGGGTGTCGAGATTGTGGGATAATCTACAAGAGAAAGCTTTTCCCAGTTCTACTAACCCCGGGCAGTTTTTGGGATCCTCATAGCAGCCGCGGTGTTCTGGAATTTAGGCTTCTGCCTACGCGGCAGCTTCGGTATAGAGAAAAAAAAATACATCGATAATCACTGATGCCTTGGCCAGACGGTAAATAAATATCACATTCAATACTTTTTCTGCAGGGAAGAACACTCGAAAAAAATGAATAGTGTAAACGAAAACGATAACTTAATTAAAAAAAAAAAAATAAGGTAAGTCAAAGTACTCACCGGCAATAACAATACAACTGCGGTTGCACCTGCTGTCCCCCGCCTGCCCCCGCAACTGCCATCTGCTGTTGCTGCTGCCTGCGCTTGCGCTCCTCGTCGCTATCGCTGCCGTCGTCCGAATCTGTGGCGTCATCGTCGCTGTCCTCGGTGTCGCGACTCTTTTGTTTCTTGGGCCGGGGGCGGCGCACATGAAAGTCGCTCAGGTGGGCGCCGGTGCGGATCGAAATGGGCTCGACGGTGGGTTGCGGAGGCGGTTGCGGCGGGGGCGGGGCTTTGATCGTTATGGGTGGGACGGTGAGCGGGGAACGGGGCGTCGCTGCCGTCTGGAAGTCGAAAAATATCCGCATAAGGTACATTTCCGTTAGAACAAATTTGCGCCGCAACACAACAGAGAATCATCATAGCATCATAAAATTCACAAAATATGTGTAGATATAAAGACAGTTGACCCGTCCCGTGCCATTCCCGCGTTTACGCGCTCGGTTAGCCTTGTTGCCAATGCCTCAAGCGAGTTTACGCGTTTCTGCATTATAAGGTTTATATGGACTTCAGTTTAGTCAGGCATTGGCTGTCGATCTGTGCGTATAGGCAGGCATCGGCAATAGAATAAAAAATAAATAAATCAGTCTCATATCTAATGACATAATTGCACCGAAATGGCCGTTTTCTTTAAAAAAATCGATGAACCAAGTTGGTAAAGTAATTGGTGGCAGCGAACGTGTTAAGTCATCATTACAAAAGCAATGTAGAATGCTAGTCATACCTACTCGTAATATCCAAATATTGCTAAGATATATAAATATTTATCCTGTAGCGGTGTTAGTGACGACTACCAAGTTGCTTCGCATTATGAGCACATTATACAGGGTGGGACAAGAATTCGTTAACATTTAAATCTAATACACTACGCAAACAGACGCCGCGCGAAGCGCGGGGATGGGGCTAGTCGCTAGCTCGTTTATCGGAAATTCAGTCGCAACGGATCGCTTCACGGGGCCGCAACGCGCTCACTGAGTGAAACAATTTTATTTAAACAACAGTTCGCTCATTACTGTGAGACGCTTATTTCGTGTTGAATACAATTTACCCGACTCAAGTCAGTGTCCGAGTGCTCATTTTATAAAGAAATGGGTGAAGTTCGAAGAGACGGCATCTACACTGAATGTGAAGCAGACCGGCGGCCCACGGACTGCTCGGAGCGAAGAGAACGTGCAGCAAGTTTCCGCTTCTGTTCAACGTGATCCAGATTTATCGACGCGCAAACGTTCGGCTGAATTAGGATTATCATTACGCACATCATTACGCCGTATTTTGAGATTAGATTTGAAATTACATCCATATAAGATCCAGATAGTGCAGGAACTAAAACCTAATGATTTAAATTTGCGTATGCCGAAACGATGTTAGCTCGATTCAGTAATTTTCACAATCTCTTATTTTCTGACTTAGCCCATTTCCACCTCAACGAACACGGGACTAAACAGAATTGCAGGTACTGGAGCAGCAAAAATCCCAAACCTAAACACGAGAAGCCACTTTACTCTCCTAAAGTAACTGTATGGGCTGCAATTTCTGCAAATGGAATCATTGGCCCCTACTTCTTTGAAGATTCTCGCGGCCATTCAGGTACTGTTAATTCTGCTGAGTATGTGAAAATGTTACGGGAGTTCTTAGCACCGATGCTACTGGAATTTGCTGGCTATAATCTTAACACATGGTTTCAACAAGATGGAGCCACGTGTCACACATCCAACGAGTCCCTGTCGGTGGTCAAAGAAATGTTTCCGGAAAAGTTCATTTCCGGACGAGGCGACATCCCATGCCAACCAAAAGTCCAGATCTATCCCCACCACTTTTTTTTCCTGGGTTATTTAAAGAGTCGTGTCTACATCAATAAACCAAGTACACTCCGTCAACTAAAAGAAAACATCAACGAAGAGATGTCGGCGATCTCGCAGTTTTTATGCCGACGAGTATTCGAAAACTTCGGTACACGTTTAGAAGAGTGCAAAAATCGTAACGGTGGTGATTTAGATGATCTAATTTTCAAGAAATGAATTCCAACTAATTAGCTTTCTTGTGAATTAACAATTTTTAAAATATTTCAAATGTTTTTTTCATACGATTTTTTCAAATGTTAACTAATTCATGACCCACCCTGTACATCGGACTTTTGTCATTTAATTCTCCCGTTATTACCGGGATCAGGAGCTTCTTAATGACAGAACGTCTTTGGCCAATACTAAAGACGTTACATTTACAACCCCCTACACCTTACAACCCCAAAAAACGAAGTTTAAGCGTTTTTTTCCTTAGTGTTTCTGCCACTAGCTCCGCCACCACCAGATTGAATTTCAAAAACTACATAGCTTTTTCATCCTTGCCAAATTAATAAATAACCTTGTGTGAAAATTTCATCAACATCCGAGCGGTATTTCTCAAGTTATAGGCGGTTATAAAATTAGCGGACAAACCGACACACAGACAGACCGACGGAAATTAGTGACATGCTTTTTCGTGACTTACATGTCATATAACATCCAAAAAACAAAATTTCTCAATTTTGATTTTTTGAAATTACAATACTTCCTCGCCAGTTTTGGCATAGGAAGTAAAAGTCAATTTCCCTATTCCAAAATACTAAATTTAAATTACTAGTAATTATCCTCAATTTGATGCCTCACCTCTGCGACTGTCTTCCTCCACTTAGGCCCCCTAGGCGTTCCACCTTCCTCTTCATCGCTAGAATACCCGTAGAACTTGTTCGGCACACGTCGTCGTTTCGACGCTCTCACACTTTCGTATCCAGGCCCCAGCGGCGTACCGGGCGTCGCGTGGGGCGTGCCTGCCCCGGTCGCCCCTAAGGGCGTCAAGGCGGGCGAGTGGGGCAGTCGAAGGGCCGCGGGTGAATGGATTTGTTGGGTTGGGGCTGGGGATAGGCGGGAGAGGGATAATGTCAATGGCGGCACAGAGGGGGTTGGTGGAGGTTGTTGTTCTGCTTGTTGCTGCTGCTGAATCTGGAAGAAATAGTGAAATGTAATTTTCGTTCTGGATACCAGCAAATTTGAAAAGGAGATAGCAGGATATATCACGTTTATTTCGACGGATGTATTCGGCACGGGCATCAGGTATCTTGAAAAGTGACATTATGCCGATTTTTTTTACATTATGTATTTTCTACAAGATATTAACTTAGCACTTAGTTTTACATGTTGCCTAAACGTCATGAGGCTTGTTATCAATCTTTGGCTCTGATGTGATGTAAAATCTGCTTCCGAGATGGCATTACTGGAGGTCTAGGCTGTAAGTTGTATATGTTGATGATAGTTACATTGGGTTTTTATCTCAAATACACTTAATTGAGATTCAAAGCAAGAAATTAGTTGCGCATCCACTTTTTCTTATCCATTCTGGAAATTACATATACAAATTTGCTGAATTTCAAAAATGAGAGAGAAGAAATAGTTATATTCAGTGTACACACTGTGTGAATTTCCCGTAATTCTCCTCAGTTTTTTGTAATTTATAACTTTGAACATAACCTCTTTTCAGAAAGCACAACATAAAAATAACTCATCGGGAACAGCCAATAGATATACTTCATTAGCAGCATATTCAGCAATGATTTTCTCACACAGCAAATATCACTGATTTTATACACATGTAGACCAATACATATAATCATCCAGATGCTATCTTGCTATTCAACCAACTTTCTTCTCAGAGATAAAAACTACAGGCAAGGACCATTTGGTCTCACAAAACATAGGCAACCAATAATGCGTGTAGTTTAGTTGAGCGATTCCTGCTTAGATAGACGTTCACAAGTGAGCAAACATGGAATGACTGTTTGCGCCCTAAAAACTACCTAGTTTGCAAGATGACATCTTATAGGTTTTTTTTACGTTTTATAGGTTTTTTACACGATACCCGTGCGGCAGCGGTATTACGAATTTTTAGGATGCGAACGGTTTCATCCTCATGGATTTTTTAGAAAAAGGAAGAACGATCACTGGATAATACTACAACAGTGAGTTATTGGACCGCTTCGACAAAAAATTGACACGGCCACATTTGGCGAAAAAGAAGGTTCTGTTCCACTTCTCGCCGCCAAACTGCATGCACTACGTTATGAAGTGCTGCCGCACCCGATCTGCCCCCCTGTGACTTTTTCTTGTTCCCTAATATGAAGAAATGGCTCGCGAGAAAGACATTTAGCTCAAACTAGGAAGTCATCGCCGAGACAGAGGCGTATTTTGGAGAGTTTGACAAATCCTATTTTTTTGAGGGGTTAAAAAATAGCAAGAACGTTGGGAAAGTGTATCTTTCTAAAAAATAATTTTTTTTTTTTGGAAAAAATGGTGTCCTCATTTCTAACTTATTGAACCTCCCTCGTCACATCTACTTCAGGGATGGCATTATTGGAAATCTAAGCTGTAAGTTGATACTATAGCTAGAAGGAAATGGCAGTGCTAGGTGCATAGTGAGGACTTGTGTGCTAATATGTGTTGATGATAATTCCCTTGGTTTCTTGTCTCAAATACATTTAGTTAAGATGTATGCAAAGCTAGAAATTAATTGCGCATCCACTAGTTTTATTCGTCCTGGAAATTACATATGCAAATTTGCAGAGATTCAAAAACGAGAAAGACAAGAAAAGAAAATCCCTGGTTGGTGAAGTATGTATATTACAACCAACCTGTAGAAAACATGCCACAGATATGAATATATATTTACGAAACGTGAAAGATTTATATTATATTTTACATAATTTTTTATTTCCAGTTATTTAAGTTTTAAAGAAATTTATTTTGCGATATCAAGTAGAAAATACAAATCAGCACCTAGATATGAGGCACTGTGAAAATGTGTATGTATATTGTGTATGACGAGTCATTCCTAATTTTTCTGTGATGTAGCTTAATTACACATAACGCGAGCGCGGTGGTGATTTCCCGTAATGTTTCTCAATGTTTTTCAAAACGCAAAAACTTGGAAAACATGCATTTTTAAATGGAAAGCTTTATTGCAGATTTGGATACACCCTTTCAAACGAACCAATTTGATATAACATACTACAGGGTTCTATTTCCAAATTGTTGAGATTTGACAATCTATGGAATACAACACTCAACTTTGACAAATTGTACCTCCAAAACTTATAGCTAGAGTAAACTAGAGTAAAACAGTTTATGATGCCATATTTTGTTTCTACCCACTTGTTCTGCTTTTCTATTTGAATAGTTTACACAGGGTGGTCAAGAAAGCAAAACGAAAAATTTCTCAGAACTTTTAAATGGAATACCTTGTGCATTTTCACATTCCTTGATTCCCCTTTCCACAAGCTTATTTGACATAAAACTTTTGGGGTTTTGTACCACCAGTTTTTTTGTTACAGCTAACCTGTTTGTAAATCAGATATCAAGACCAATGAACAATATTACGACAAATTTCAAACTAAAATACAATATTTAATTAGTAATGGCACATCGTTAGAATTGGCGTTTTAAAAGTCAAAAGGTATCCCTATGTCGATAATCCCCCATATTTGTCTGACAAATGAAACCGCATCTAACTAAAATTCTTGTTTAATGTAAAGGGTTTAGTCACAATTGTGTCCTTCCTCAGTACATGACACTTTTTTGACACTATTTTATTTATCTGTCTTCCAGGTAACACTTCATTTGTTTTTCTTTTTATTTTCAGATTACTATAGAGTTCTTACTACAACAGTCTGAAAAAATTATTCCAAATTTTAACATGGCATCATGCCAAATCGTCCTGATAATTTGTCATTAATCGTGTATCTTTTTGAAACATTAGAAAATACAATTCAATTTCCGAAGATTACTTACTTGGTGGTGGAACTGTTGATAGTATGGCGGTATGGGTACATCGGTGATGATATTCGTCACAGAAACTTTCCGAGATTCTTGTTCTCTCCTCTCGTTTTTCCGTTTCTTCCTCTTTTTCGACTTGGACTTTTTGTGCTTCCTTTCTTCCTGTTCCTCGACTACCGAGCCAGCTGGTGGAGTTGGCGGCCGACTTGTACTGCAAGAACAAAATCAGGTCAACAAAAAGTGATACAAAATTAAAATGAAATGAAAAATGGCGTCAAGTAGGTTGACTCTGCACTTCCCACGCAACTCCGCCATCAGTTCATAAAGGGTTATGTTCAGCACAAGTTTGACTCTATAGAAATAAAACAGCGCCATGGAAGTTACATCTTGGATAGAGGATAGTTGCTACGCTTTCGGATTGTTGTCCAAGAGACCAAACCGAAGTTTGAGTGTTTTTTATTTTTTTTTAGTTTTGACATTTTGACATTTGAAATTTTAGTTAATTCCAGATGACGATTTTGAAGATATTAAAAAAAAGTTTCAACACCCCGTATCTTTTCAATGAAGCCATCGAGGAGAAAATGTTACATAAAAGACTCCACTTAAAATGCAGTCCTGTGTATGATGTTTCATTTTTGGTCACGACTTGTGAATCACCCTGTATATGGTATATAGAGTGTACTAAGACTAGATTATTTTCACAATGATCTTTGTTTTAATAAGCACGACCAATATTGTTTGGAAGAAGAAAAGTTGCGCAATAGAATTCATATTTCATAGGAAGTAACTAACCGTCGCGTCGCTTACCTCTCAATAAAACTGCCGTTCGGTACAGTAGGTACGCTGTTAGGCCCCATGAGCGCCAGCAACTGTTGCCGTTTCTCCTCGAGAATCTTCTTGGCCAACTTCTGCGGCGCCCGATCATAAAATTCCTCGTCCGTTTCCGATTCGGTAGTCTCCAAATCCGATTCGTTTATTGGAGGTTCTGCAATGACAGGCGCTGCAGCCGTTTCTCCGCCAAACGTCGCTACCACGTCTACGACTTTGCTCTCGGCGTTTTCTTTGTCCTTGTGTTGTTTATCCTTGCCCTTCTCCTGCAAAATAGTCAATGTTACTAGGTCAGTTGCAACATACAATGGCGATTTTATGAGAAACCAACCAAATATTTTTATAGGAACGTGGTTTTCAAAAAGATTTTATAGTTTAAATGGTTATTTTGAGTTCCTATGTTGACAGAAAAAAAATAGTATCTATGGAAGTGCCTCAATGATCTAATATAGGGGCACTGTTACTCTTGATATAGGTACATCATAAATCAAAGGTCAAAAGGAAATGGTAGTAAAAAAACACATACACTTGAAAAAACAATACAATGCACATTAAAAAACCGTTTTACATGCAAAGAACTATTCATAGCTATAAAAGCAACTATCTGTTAGAAATGATTTCAACTGATTTTTGAAAATGCTCAATTTCGGCGTTTTTAGAATACCTTCTTTTAAATTATCGAACATTTTACAACCCATGTAGGTCAAACATTTCTGATATGCTGCAGCACGATGCTGAGGGGGTATCAGCAGATCTTTAGATCGAGTTTGATAGTCGTGTTTTTCTTTGTTATGATAAATACTGGTTGCGCCATCTATTACTTTTTTTTACCTATAAGTTTATGTGTTACCATGTGAGTCAAAAGTCATGTGGTATGCATAAATGAACTGTCAAAGGTATGCCATTTATAGTCATGGATTCGTTTACAACACAACAACGCATTTGGGTTATCCAAACTTATTACGAAAACGTTCGAAATATAAACAATACTTTTCGCAAATTTCGCACTATTTTTGGCTGACATGGATGCCCTACAGAGCCTGGAATTCGTTGGATTGTTAATCGTTTTGAAGAAACTGGTTCAGCTGAAGGTCGTAGACCATACCAACATGCTCGCCCAGCTCATACTCGTGAAAACATAGCCGCAGTGAGTGAAAGTGTGCGAGAAGATCCAACCACCTCGACTAGGCACCGTTCGCAACAATTGGAAATTAGTGAGACCAGTTTACGCCGGATTTTACACATTGATTTACACCTCCATCAATACAAAATCCAACTAACTCAAGAATTGAAGCCGGCAGACCATCAACAGCGGCGTGTTTTTGTTAATTGGATGCTGGAAAGAGAAGACGGATTTTCTGATGAGGCTCATTTTCACCTCAATGGCTACATAAATAAGCAAAATTGCAGATTCTGGGGGGCTGGAAACCCACACCACTATCATGAACAACCTCTCCACAAAGTGACCGTTTGGTGCGGATTATGGGCTGGTGGCATCGTTGGACCATTCTTCTTTGAAGATGCCGAAGAGAAGGGCATTACTTACCGTCAACGGGGAACGTTATCGTGGCATGTTAACAGACTTTTTGTGGCCAAAATTGGATCGTATTGGTGCCGACGATCTTTGGTTTTATCATGACGGAGCAACGGCTCACACATCTCGCCTTATTGCACACGAATTTTCAAGACAGCATAATTTTACGAAATTCAGATGTCAGTTGGCCCCCGAGATCGTGCGATTTGACTATTTTCTTTGGGGATTTTTGAAAGGAAAAGTGTATGCGAATGGTCCCCGGACAATTCAAGACCTAAAGCGCAATACTCGGACTGAAATTGCGGCCATAGACCCGATTATTCTGGAAAAAGTCATTGAAAATTTTGATGTTCGGATGTTGGCCTGTGAACGAAGCCGCGGTGGTCACATGACTGATGTTATTTTTCATACAAGTTATGTACCAGTCTACAGAGAAGAATATGCTGAACAAGGACTTTTGCCTCCACGTGCCTTTCTTATCAGTTACAGTATTGTATTTCATTTGTTCTTTACTTTGGTTTGTATAATGAACTTTGCAGTCAGTCTCGATTCAGAACTCATTCAATTAACATCATTGTATTTGGTCTTTCTCAAAAATAAATTTTTTTAAAAACGTTTTCGTTGAAGAAAGATATTTGAGTGGCGCAGTCAAAGCAGTAGGATAGCCAGACGAAAAAAGGACATTTTCGGCTCGTTTCAACGGTTTACTGGCTATAACGAAACCAACCGCGATTGGTCGCGAACGATCCGACGGAATATCGATATCGTTACCGTGATCACCGGAACCAGATTTGGGATAGAACCCTACCCAAATCGAGAAACCAAGACGACAGCAGCCCAGAGGACAGCAGGCAACCCAGCAGTGGCCCAGGCATACGGACACATGGGACGGATTGGATTACTACTGTAAGTACGAATGTCTTACAGGGGTGAAAACAATCAAAAGCTGTTTGATGATACATTGAGTGACACTGATTCGGACTCACAGTCGGATACGGAACATATCCAACATAGTTTAAGGAATTTGCAACTAAGACCTAGTATACTAAATAATACAGTCAATATGAACAACAGTCAAGTAAATCAATCAAGCATGTCATTACGCCCAGAGTATCTTAACATGATACCCGAATTTTATGGTCAACAAGAATTATTACCAAGATTCATAGATATTTGCGAAAAGTTAGTGAATAAATTTTATAGATTAGAGGATGAAAATGACTTCCAGAACGAATATCTTATGAGTAGTATTTTAGCGAAAATCAAAGGTAATGCAGCTTTAAATATTAGTAGCAATATTATAAAAAATTGGACAGACTTGAAAACTGCACTTTTAAATACATATCAAGACAAGCGTGACGTATTTACTCTAAATATAGAAATGTGTGAATTGAAACAGAACAACGAAACCCCCTTTGAATTTTATAACAAAGTTCAGAGTTTATTGAATTTACAAATATCATTTTTAACTACACATTGTGTGAGTGAAGAAGCTCAGATAATATGTAATTTTTGCAAAAGCGTAGCATTAAGAGTATTTCTAAAAGGTTTAAAGGAACCTCTAGGATCGCTCATGAGGACGAAAAATCCTACAGACTTGAATGAAGCTCTGAATATATTAACTAACGACTTTCAGCTTGATCATAAGGTAGATAAACATAAAAATGTTAATCGAAATAATATGCAATTAGTACGCCATATGAACAACAACTTTGGTAATTATAGGAATCAATACCAAGCGGTACAGCGTCCAGTATTACAAAGACAATTTAATCCTAATAATGTACGACCAAATAATCCTAATCAGAATAGAACGAATTTTCACAATAATAACGTTTTTAGACCTAATCAGATCAATAATCTACCAAGGCCTACTCCGATGAGTACATCCACTAGACAGACGTATCAGCAACCAAATTTTCAAGGTAGAAATTTTAACAGACCTTGTGTAAACGCAGAACAGGCTATGTTTAACTTATGTGCACAAGACCAACCTGTTGTAGAATTTCCAAATGATGACAATTATGAATGCGCTTATTCTCAGAATAATTCTGACAATTTTTTAGGGCAAGAAGCCTCGGAACAGAGACAACCACAAGTCTCAACGGACCACCAAAGTCAATAGAAATTATGAGTTTAACCGACAAATGTAGCAAACTACCATACATTGTATTTCCGGAGTATAATCTCAAAGTATTGATTGACACTGGAAGTACAAGATCTTTCATACACCCTGAAATTGCGAAAAAATTATTTTCAAGACATATTCAAAAAGACCCATTTCAAATCACTTCAGCACATGGTTCATCTATCGAACAATATAGTATGACAATACCTTGTCCAAAGATTTTTAAGAATCCAAATATTCTCATGAAATTTCATTTATTCAAGTTTCACGAACATTTCCAATGCCTTTTAGGACTCGATAACCTGAAAGAGATATTGAATGCCAACATTGATTTGAGCAATGATCTTTTAGTCACACCCACAACAAGGATACCCATGCAATATCACGAGATTACAAAAAATTCTTCTAATGTTATCACTGTTCCACCTAGAACAGAACAGATAATTAAGGTTAAGATAAAAAATTTAAAAAATGGTAATGCTATTATTCCATACAGAAAATTATCATGTTTAGAAATCCCTGAATGTCTTACTACAGTGAAAAATCACGAAGCAATTTGCACAGTATTAAATTTATCTGAAGAACAGATTTCTCTTGACATATCTCGACCAATAGATGTAGAAAATTTTGAAAATTACGAAGTTTCAGAAAATTCTGATCCACCGAATATTAATTCTTTGAACTTTCAAAAATATAAATTTGATATTTCCAAAATTAGGACAGAGCATATGAACTCTGAAGAAAAAGACGCAATCACCAAGTTAGTAAGAGAGTATTCAGACATATTTCACATTGATGGTAATTACTTAACTTTTACGAGCAAAATTAAGCATCATATACGTACAAGCGATGAAATACCCATTTACACTAAATCATACAGATATCCTGAAATCCACCGAAAAGAGGTACAAAGACAAATACAATCAATGCTTGATCAAAAAATTATTAGAGAGAGCAATTCAGCGTGGTGCTCACCTATATGGATTGTTCCAAAAAAATTAGACGCATCGGGAAAGCAAAAATGGAGAATAGTCATTGATTATAGAAAATTGAATGAAAAAACATTGGGAGATCGTTATCCTCTTCCAAACATAACAGATTTGTTAGATAAATTAGGGCGATGCCAATATTTTTCAACATTAGACTTAGCTTCAGGTTTTCACCAAATAGAAATGGCAGAAGATGATATTCAAAAAACTGCATTTAATACAGAAAATGGACACTACGAGTTCACAAGAATGCCATTTGGACTAAAAAACGCGCCAGCGACTTTCCAGCGAGTAATGGATAACATACTGAGAGGTATTCAAAATGAAAAATGCTTAGTATATTTAGATGACATTATAATATTCAGTACTAGTTTACAGGAACATATTTCTCGACTTAGAGAAGTTTTTGAAAGGTTACGTCAGTCAAATTTTAAAATACAGTTAGACAAATCAGAATTTCTTAGAAAAGAAGTATCGTATTTAGGTCATGTTGTAACGGCGGATGGTGTGAAACCAAACCCCGATAAGATAAAGGCAATCACAGAATTTAAAATACCAAAAACTAAGAAGCAAATTAAAGGCTTCCTTGGACTTTTAGGTTATTACCGTAAGTTT